CTAATTAATTTATATTTGATCTTGATGGTGAAACTAAAGGCGTTTAACACTGAACACCTAACATGAATGCAGCTTCTGAGAGCTAGCTAATATCAGCTAAAACTGTTCTGCTGCTGCTGCTCACCGTCCTTCTTGAAAAACTTAGTCCATACTTGCTTCTCTTCAATTAACTTTTTCTCCTTCTCCTTCTTTTCTTTTCTGGAAGCCAGATTTCCCTTTCTTGGGTTAAGACATGACTGACTCTCCTGCCTCCAGCTCTGGCTGTCGGCATCTGCGATGTCTCATAGCTGTACATGCGGCCGTGCAGCCCCTGGCCGCTGGTGTGGACTAAACCACTTTGCACATTTTTAAGGGGTGATAGATGCCTCAGAGATTATTCAGTTATTATTTTTAAGGCGAAATTCTGTTTCTTAACCTCTTTATCCAGGTAAAGGGAAGTTTATTAAGACAGTAAGTTGGGGGGAAAAAACAACAACAATAAAACATTTTTATTCAAAGCTGTCTCAGGGCCCCTCCCTGCAGTGGGCCCTGGGTAAACGGTACCCTCCCCCCCCCCCCCCCCCCAGTCCGACGCCCCTGCCCACCACCACCACTACCACACACTCTCACACACACCCTGGTCCTCAGACTCTTGCAGACAGTTCAATTCCTTGGGCCTCAGCACTTTGGAAAATACAACTTTTGGCTTCTACTCACTGTGTACTAATGGGCTGATCCCACTATTTCCATATGCAGCAGTCAGGCACTTTCTAATCACTGCAAAATCAACAGTTCTGTATTGCCAGTACTGGTTGTGTAATAATATCTGTCTATAAATTCAAAGAGCAAGGGTTGTGTCTCCTCAAGCAAGTGCTTGCAAATTCAAATGATTTGCAGAGGTATTTGCAGGTTCAGCGTTACTGTGTGCACAAAGTCAAAACTATAACTGCGACCAGTAAAGTTGAATTTCAAATAACTTTTGAATATGCGTTCTTGCACCTCTTTCTTGTTTGTTGAATGAAATAATATGAAAATATGATTGTTTTATTAAAAATATCTTATTTTTAATCCTCAAATTTTCATGAAGCCATTGTTATTGAGGATGCTGGATAGAAAATTCTCCACAAGCGTACAGTTCAATGGTTTTCAAAGTCAATATGCCTAGGGAGTCACACTGGGATATTTGGTCCCTAACTGTTCAAAATCCCTGTTCCACAAAGAAACCCTGTGAGTTGTGAATTGAGAGCCTTGGAAAAGTTTTGAGACATTTTGGAAACCTGCCTACAAATGCTCTGTGCTGTTTGCTGCTACCATTCTCTGCCAAGTGGCTAGGTGATGTTGTTAGCTGTGATCTTAGACCCAACAGTTTACTCTTTGGACGACAAGCTAGCTGTTAGTTGCAACAGGAGGATCTTTGTTGACATCTTTTTTCATCTTTGTGCGCATGTGCGAGTGGCTGAGTGGCAAAAACATTCCTGCTATCAATACGCGACGTAAAATTTTAAAAGAGTTTACGAGCAAAATCCCCGATATGTAAACACTTCGTCTAAAGACAAGAGGAGGTTTAGAGAGAAGCTTAAAATCTTTATTGAAGAGAAAATTAATGTTATTAAAAACTCGTATGACCTCTGGGATGATGGAATACATCAGTTCCATTTGCAGATGTTTTTTTTTTTCCCCACAAATCTGCTGTGGAGACATTTATATCTACTCAACAGAAAGCTCTGGACCCTTCACTCATGATGAGTTAAAGACTGTTAAACGTCAGGAGGCTTATGATTATTTTGCTTTAAGGAAAGTTGAGCCGATCTCTTCTGAAAACTGAAAGCGGTGGTCATTGTAGCGGTAAAGATTGGCTACTTATTTATTAAATGATCAATAAGAGGTGATATTCCCTATAAACATGAAACATCAATCTGATTGGTTTTTGAATGTTTAATCTGAAGACTTTAGATTCTTTGACTTATTCAGGGAACGCACACTTCACATTAATCCAGACAGAGTCGAGAATATAGTTTTATAAAAATGATTTTAATTCTACTTTTCTAAACTAAATAGTTGTACATGACAAAGTATGAATGAAATTATGGTTGTACAGATAACAGACGATGAATGAAATGATGGAATGGAAGCTAGATGTTTTTGCAAAACCTTGTGAGTATCTGAGAGAGATCTTGTGAAGTCTGGGTTGTAAAATCAGTCTGGCTGTATGGTTTGATACATTAGAGATAATCCATGAAACCATCCGAAACAATCGTCTACTATGCCCTTGTGGGAATGTCGCTCTCCGCGATTCGGACGAAAGGCAGCCAAAGTGATGAATTACCGGACCTCGTGGCCACCGAATCCCAAAGAGGCGCAGTTCCTTTTGAATTCATATTTCTAGTCCAGCCATGAGGTAGAACCACGGTCTGCAGGTTAGAATGTCTGTCTGAGGTGTTGGGTGGCTCTTAAAAGAGCCGCTGTCTGATATCACTCGCAAGTGTTGCAGAGAGGCTTTGACCTTGGGGTCAATAGAGAGGATGGTCTCAAATGCTTGCTCACTGGTCGGCCTAACAAAGTGAACGGCAAAGACTGAGGAATCAGGAAGTGATTCCTGTATTTATCAAATGTTGCTTATAAATTCTAGACAAATCAGAATTTGACACGTTTTAAAGGGCGTTAACGAAGTCCTCAGAAAGTCACTCTTTCACTCAGATACTCAGAGGTAACTCTTGGTGTGAAGTGAATATGTTATTACACATGTATGTGAAGTGAATATGTTATTACACATGTATGTGAAGTGAATATGTTGTTACACATGTATGTGAAGTGAATATGTTGTTACACATGTATGTGAAGTGAATATGTTGTTACACATGTATGTGAAGTGAATATGTTATTACACATGTATGTGAAGTGAATATGTTATTACACATGTATGTGAAGTGAATATGTTGTTACACATGTATGTGAAGTGAATATGTTGTTACACATGTATGTGAAGTGAATATGTTGTTACACATGTATGTGAAGTGAATATGTTATTACACATGTATGTGAAGTGAATATGTTATTACACATGTATGTGAAGTGAATATGTTGTTACACATGTTTGTGAAGTGAATATGTTGTTACACATGTATGTGAAGTGAATATGTTGTTACACATGTATGTGAAGTGAATATGTTGTTACACATGTATGTGAAGTGAATCTTGCAAAGTCTTGCTGTTTCAAACAATAACAATAGACACAAATCTGATCTAAGTTCAACACACAAATTCCAACACATTCTCACTCCCAGCGCATCAAAAACAAACGCTTGGTCAGCCACCCTCCGCGTCAGACCCCTGACACCAAAAGTGCCCTTTTTCGTCACACATGTGCGAAAAGGGGTTTTTCCCTTTTCTGACTGCAGATCCCAACGCAGCGTAAAACTGACGCGATGGGATGTCCACAGCCAGGGCACCAAACAAGCTCATTGTACCTCACCTTAACCGTATCCTCTTATTTAACCTTCCCCTCACCCCTATCCTAACCTTAACCATCTTGCTAGCTAACACGTTAGTGATGTGTCGGTCGCTCTAAAAGCCGGCTCTATGAAGTGAACGGCGGGAGCCACCTCGTCATTGGTCTGGTTTGGACCGAGGCAACGCGAGGGGGAGTTTTCAACTACCAAGGTGAAGGTTAAAAGTAGAGGGTATTTGTAGCCTCCCCCTCACCAGATGGTATATTCTAACGTTCCTCTTGGGCGGCAAATACGAAAATTCACAGTCAGAATGCATGGGAAACAGATGCTTGATCACAGTGAGAGTAACGTTTTAGGTAGCAAGAGGGTTAAGGTTCGGATCAGGGTGAAGGGAAGGTTATAAATAGCAAAACGTTAAGGTTTAGGTGCGGTTCAATGAGCTGGGTCGGTGCCGCATCAGCGGACATCCCATCGCGTCAGTTTTACGCTGCATTGGGATCTGCAGTTACAAAAGGGAAAAACCCCTTTTCACACATAGGTAACGAAAATGGGCACTTTTGGCGTCAGGGGTGTGACGCGGAGGGTGGCTGACCAAGTGTTTGTTTTTGACGCGCTGGGAGTGAGTAGTTAGCTACTGTTGGGGTTATTAGGAGCGAACAATTTGTAAGCTTTAACTTACTTTTGGATTCTTCAATAAATTCAGTAAATATGGGAATATTTACTGATTTATTAATTAATTAAGATATTCTTAGATATACGGGGCACCATTCCCCTTTAACCGGGGAAAAATTGAATCCAAAACTCTTATCAGTCTTTCTTGAAGTTCGTAGAATCCTCGGAGCAGAGACTTCTCTTCGACACAACAAAGCTACTGGAAACGAAAATTTGAATTTTATGACGTTTAATTAACAATTTGTCAAATGAATAAACAGTGGCATAAATGAATAATAACCATGTGATATAATAAAAGGATGTATATTCAAAATAATGTTCAAGGTGTTTTGTGTGTATGTATGTGTGTGTGTGTTTCTAAAATGGAGTCTGTATGCAAGATGGCTGACCCCTTTGTCTGGCTAAAGTGTGGGTGGCAACTTGCACTTTAACTTCCAAGGCACTTAGAATCAGTAGTAACTTAACCTTAAATCACTCAAAACATTTCAAAGGATCATGAAACAACACAAAAGATTAATCACAAGTTAATATCTTTTAGTTTAACCACGTGGCCAAGCAGAAAACATTTAAAGATACCAAACAATGATCAATAAGCAGTTTATTCTTTCAAAATGACCCGACGGACGTGTTTGGGAACGAAAGAGGAAAACACGAAGCTACTTTTAAGCAATAGGCGCGGTTTTATTGCTTATTCTGGACTATAGAGGAAACGGAAGAAGAAAAGGAGAGAGAGAAATGAGTTTTCTGATCACCAGAACAGCAAGGCGTCCCCCGCTGTTTTGATTTGACGGTTCTCCGTGTTTCTCCGTGTTTCTACGCAGTTTGGCGTCGTCCGTCGGTTTGATGCTTTCTCCGTTGTTTTGGCCCCACGAGTGTTTCTCCAACGGGCTGGACACAAAGAGAACGAAGTTTCTTTTGGGCTGAGTTTCACAACTTACAGCGTCTCTGAGAGCTGGATGGAGCTCCGCTCGTTCCCAGTCAGGTCCTGATGGAGTTGGATTGTAGTTTCCAGCAGTTCCGTGGGCTCAACTTGGGCACTTAGAGCTTCCGCGTGCTCAAGGGAGTCGGAGCGTTCGACAAGCGTGTCCTTACCACCAGGTATCCTGGGCAAAAGAACAAGGTTTCTTTGTCTCTGCTGAAGATTTATGGTCTTAGTTCGCGGGAAAAGCTCCACGGCCTCCCGCACATGCGCAGAACGTGTTTCTGGTATTAGGCGGTGACATCATCCCAATGCTTCCGTGTGCAAAGCATCATGGGAAATGAAGTTTCTTGGCGCTGATGTGATTATTTGCTTTTCAGAGCAATTTAAGCACGGTCATTTTGGAGAAAATCACTGCATAGTAATTTCCTCATGAGGTCAGACCCTCAACACTACATTTCTACTTACATTTTAGTGCAACCTAAATACTATGTTTGTGTTTTTCAGCTCAAAATGCAAGCTATTTCTGCTGGCTTTGTATGATGCAAGCCATCCTATTTTCCATGGAAATGAGAGGCTAATAGGTTGCTCATTAGCTGTAGCCTCATATAAAGTTCTAACCAATAGATGTTGGATCTAATTAACTTTACTACATATGATGGGGTTTCAAGAAATAATGAAACCTTGTGTTGCTAATGTTTGTGCTTGTCCGTTATTGCTGTAAAGCACTCTGAGCTGCCTTTGTGTAGAAAGTGTGCTATATAAATCAAGCTGTCTTGTCTGATTGTTGAACTGTTTTCTGTTTTTAAAGGTAAAAAACTCAAATGGCTCTTTTCCAATACTACCACAGCTCTGATAGGTGGGTTTGTCATCAGGTAGTTGCTTCAGTTCACCCAGAATGACCCCATGTCGCCTAATGTCATCAGCATGCAAATTTTCATATGGATTACATCATCACAGCATGCTGCTAAAAAAAAGTCACACTGCAGCCTTCATTTTTCCTTGATTGCCCAAAGTCTTTAGAAATAGTGACGGAGTTCACAAGTTGGTAACACTGTCCGTTATAGCAAGGTGGGCCCTGGAATTAGAAAAGTAGTGCGAGTTGATCTGTACATAAAACACAACAGGGTACAAATGTAGAAAACAAGGTAGTGATTCACTCGGTTTAGTTTGTGGTTTTGTGTCAGAGTTTGAACAGAAGAGGCCCATGAAAGGCTACAGGCAACAAGGCACTCTGGAGTCTGGCGTAGAGTTTTTGGCCCTTAACGATACGCGTGGAACCACTGGGGGTTCTTTACAAAGGAGGCGACCAACGACACATTAGTGGAAATGCCTTGGAACCATAAGCCCCCTTCAGACAGGCCATGAAAACGGAAATGTTCCGGACTCTGTCCTTAAGACCTTTGTGTCTGAATACAAACATCCGGATAACGTGTTCTGGAATTTATCCGGACGAAGCCCGTAGTAACAGGTCCGGACTTGTTACAGACAGGGTGGCTGCTTCATACTGGTGAGGTAGAGTTCCGGACAAGGGGGGGGGGGGGGGGGGGGGAGGAGGGGACCGGGGGACGCTGTGCGCACCTACATAGCCCGCTGCTGTAGCATGCGGCGAACCACAGCAGCTCGCCTCCTACGGTACCGTCTAGACCCGCGACGGAGCGCTTCACACCGCTTCAGTGATTCCTTAACCATTGAGCTTCATCATCCAGGTCTCTTATGCGTCTTTGTGTGCGCAGAATTATGCTTAAGCGCCTCGTGATTTTTATCCTGAGAGGCGCTATAGAAATGATATTTTCTTCTTCTTCTTCTTCTTAACATGAGTCCGATTCTCTCCCTCCCCACCCCCCCACCACCACCCCGCCGCCGTCAGACATCTGAAACTTCTCCCTGCTGTGTGAACGCAGCCGAAAGGACAAGTTCCGGTACAAAAGTGGTGTGTCTGAAAACACAGTTCCGGTTAAAAACCGGATTGAATTGTCCACAAATGTTCCAGAATGTCTATCTGAAAAGGGCTATACAGAGTCGAGGCGAAGTGTGCTGATTAGACGCTAGTGGGAAAGGGTCATAAGTTATTGAATAATAATTTAAGGGGGTGTACTCCCCACCCCCATTTGAATTTTTATAAATTAAAAATAAACTAATATGATAAGCAGAAAGCAGATTTTTATTTTTGTGTAGCATTGTTTTACTCTTCCGTGATCATTTTTTACAAAGTGTCTGATTGTCGTGGTTGATAGGGTATTGAGGATGTGTCCTGGCTGAAAACCCGCCTTCATTTCTGTTATAATTTTAACTAAAGCGAGGACGACACCTTTGTTCGTGCTGCAGCAGCACTACACTGTTTTTGAGTAAACACGTGCCTGAGGGATCCTCATTGAGATTAATGAGGAGGTTCTTGCGTGGGATGGTTAATTCCAACCAGATTAACTTGGTGAGGGTCTGAATAGGAATGCTAGCCCCAAGCTAAGTAAACTGGCTGCTGAGTCCAATCGTTGGCAGAAACCTTGCTATTTCCCTCCTTGAAGATAAAGAAATGTGGACTTCTACTGGAACCTCTGCATGGTCTCAGCTACCTGGATGCCAGTAGCTTTCATGTCCTCTGAGCCTGTGCCAGCTGTGCTTTTCTGCTCATATGGTCTAGCAGTTAGGATTCCTGGTTTTTACTCATGCAGCCCAGGTTCGACTCCCAGGGCAGGAACTTATCTGCACAGAATTTCCCTCCAGGGATTAATAAAGTCAGCTTTCTGTTCGCCTTCAATTTTTTCGACTTGCAGCTCAAAATCTCAACCACTCTGAGAAGAAAAATACAGTGTTTTTTAAAGTAATTGTGTTGTAAACAATCATCTGAACGCAGTAGTGTCAGTGAAAGCTGTCCTCTGTTTCCTTTGATGTTTGGAGACATAATTGCTTGCAGAATGAGAGGGATCCTGTAGAGATTTCATTGCTGCTGCTGTGCGCTACTTTAACAGAAGGAACATGCCAACAGCAAATGCCATTAAAGTCTGCACCAAATCTGTGGGTGGTTGGTCTGCACTCATGGAAAAACACACCAGAATTGTGTTGTATACTAATTTCTCTTCCTGATTATAATTTTGACTCCAAATCCCTCCCACATAGCCTCGATGCTTTTAATGTCACACCTACTCAACTTTGCATAAAGTGCTTGGATGTTTTAATTTTGCCAGACATGAAGGCGGAGCGAGAAGCTTTCCAGACTTGGAAAACTAACAAGAGAACACTTGAAGATGAGTTTTTTTCAAAACCTGCTTCTATGCTTGGTTGTACTTGTGCAGAGCCAGTAGATTCTAGCCACATATTTGTTCTAACTTTTGATACCACACTTTAATGCGCTCTGTAACTTTTTAGTGAGAATTTTATTATCAGATGGGGATCCACAATCATTGTTGACCAACCTCCTAATTTTCCAATATTTTGCTTTCCTACGACCAGATTTTTTTGTAATCTTGTAAAGGGTCATTGTCCTTTTTAGGAAGTTGGCTGCCTTTTTGTTGATTTTCTGTGAAGCCATTAAACCTGAGCTTTAGCTCAGTGGTTCCCAAAATGCTATGCTAAGCTATTGCTAAGGCCTCCAGCCCAGACCAAAGGTGACAGATCATTTGCTGCTGTGACCCCCAGACTCTGGAGCTCTCTCCCCCTGATCCTGAGATCAGTGGACTCAGTGGTCTCCTTTAAAAATCAGCTGAAGACTCACCTGTTCAGGCTGGTTTTGGTGTGACCTTCATCACCACCCTCTCCTTATTCTGCTCTTTCTACCCATTCTGCCTTTCCGGGATGTACAGATTTCCGTCTTTCCTATTCATTTTCTCTCTCCCTTTCCTTACAGTTTGTGAACCACAATTTTATTTTTTCTCATTTTAAACAAATGTTTAAATCATTTTTGAAATGTTTTGTTTTTGTGATGCATCTCGTGGCTTTCATCGAGGCGCTATGTAAAAGACCGTTTTCTTTTTTCTTTACTTACGTCGATGACAGATTGTTGTTCAAGCTTGTTTTTAGATTTGTTACTGAAACATTTAAAACGGACACGTTTACCCTTAAACCCAACCCGATGAACCCAACAGGGTAAGGGACTAACACCAAGATCTGGTCAACCTCAGCTGTGGTTCCTTGGGTGAAAGTGATAGCTGAAACACCAGAACTGTTAACCCAGTGAAGCCTAATGATAAATAACCTGCTATTGTACTGTTATGTCTGAGTCAGAGGACTCCATAGCGCTTTGCACTACAGTCAGTCATTCACCCATTCCCTCTCTGGTGGTGGTGAGCTACTATGTAGCAGCAGCTGCCCTAAACAGGTGCCAACAGTCCCTCTCATCACCACCTGCTGACAAGGTGGGTAAAGTAGATACAATGACTGACATTGGCACAACCTGGATTCAAACCCACTGATGAGAGAGAAAACTCCTAACCCCTGAGCCACCATCGCCCATGTGAAATGTCAGAAAATTGTCTGTTCTGTTCCCACAGAGGTTACTAGTGCTGCTGAAGTAGCTGCCACCACACTGGTTACGAAAACCCAGTGCAGGTTTCATTTGAAATGGTTAACAGCTTGAGCCACTCATCGTTTTGGGATTCTCTAGCTTTGCATCTGAACATATCTGATGATGAAGCACCATCCATGGTACCACGTTTGAGAATCTTAGGGTTAACTCTACAGGCCCAGTTCATCAAATATCCAAATCTGATGTTTTTATTCCCCAATAATTTAGAGATGTCAAACACCTGGCACATGATCTATATGGTACTTATGATAAATGATACATGACCAGCACTTGTATAGCGCCTTCCAGAACCAGAGGACTCCAGCAGTGTACTTCTACTAGTATTGATATTTTAGGTGTAGTACATTTTTAAAATTCACCTTGTTGGAGCAGAAATACATTTTAAAGTGGGTTGAATGCTTTTATCTTTGATGTTTTGGTAACACTTTACAAAAAGGTTACTTAGTGCATTATTAAGCATCAATAAACAAAGGATCCTTTTATTAACGTTACCGTTATTGTTAAATAATAACAAATAGTTGCTTAGTGATGCATTGCCAAATATGGTTAAGCTGTCGTTAATATTCTGTTTAACAGTTTGTTAATGCTTAATAACCATTAAATAATGTTAATAGAGTGACCCTTATTGTAAAATGTTACCAGTGTTTTTCATGAACTAAAATAACAAAAACAAACAGATTGTCTTAGCTGACAGGTTTCTGGCAACAACAAAACAGCGATAAAAGAACAAGTGTCTTTTTCATCAAAGCTCTTGTTTCCTTAATCTCCTCCTCTATTGTGTTGCTAGGCAACCATACCTTACCAGTGAGTATCCAGATTGTCATAAAGTAAAGTTCAACTGGAAACTTAAAACTCTGATGCTGCTGGTTTACTGAAGCGTGTGTGTGGGTGTGTGTGTGTGTGTGTGTGTGTGTGTGTGTGTGTGTGTGTGTGTGTGTGTGTGTGTGTGTGTGTGTGTGTGTGTGTGTGTGTGTGTGTGTGTGTGTGTGTGTGTCAGATTAGTGGAGAGTGGGGTTTGGGTCAGGATTTTGTTTTGGGGTGAAAGGATTGGCTGATGGCTGCATGGAGGGGAGGGGGTGGGCCTGTGGTTAGGAGGGAGGGGGGATGGGGGATATTGGAATCTGTTTACAATAGCTTGAGGAGGGGATTTGAAGCTGCGGAAGAGGGAGAATCATTCTCATATTGAATAAGAAAATGTAGGTAATGATGAGGGCGAGGACTCAAACCTCTGGAGGATGGAACATGAACTTAGGGAGTAGCAGAGCAGTGTCTCAGGAGGATGTGCTGCTACAGCTCTGTGGATCTCTGCCTCTTCATGTTAAAAGTGACGTATCTGATGGACTTTGTGAGTCCGAAGAAGTCCAATTTTTTATTTTTCTGTCTTTCTGTACCCGTGCAGACTTTTGAGGAGCAGTTGTACGACCCTAAGCTGACCTGGTCAGACCTTTCGCCATCCATCCTCACAGGGCTCTGACGACACGTCCACATCCGCCAGCCGGTCGCCCATCTCCATAAACAACAAGAGACCGGACTTCATCTTTCTGGTAAAAAACCACATCGTACCCTCACTCTGGCCCCGACCCATTATGATCATTGTTAGAGCAGCTTCCATAAAGACTGATAATAACACAAAACACCTACGGAGGCTAAGAACAGGTCAACAAACTGAAACTGAATTTGAATGACACCAAGGAGCAGGGTGGAAGAACGAAGGAAATGGAGTTGTTTTTGCAACACCAAGTTATTCAGTTTGATCGGTAAAATACAGCAAAAGTTTTGATACGATACATTATAAAAGGACTAAAGAAAAAGTCAATTTTTTAAAGATTGAAACTATTTCTGTTTTCCAATAGTTCAGCCTAAAAATGCATGGACTTGCTTTGATTTGTGTAATAATTAAAGTGTTTGTTTAGTTCCTACAAGCACAGTTATAGAAGTTGTCCACTCTGGATCCTGATTGGCTGGGGTACTAATACTTCTTTACTGGAGGGAGGGGGGAGAGAGAGAGAGAGAGAGAGAGAGAGAGAGAGAGAGAGAGAGAGAGAGAGAGAGAGAGAGAGAGAGAGAGAGAGAGAGAGAGAGAGAGAGAGAGAGAGAGAGAGAGAGAGAGAGAGAGAGAGAGAGAGAGAGAGAGAGAGAGAGAGAGAGAGAGAGAGAGAGAGAGTACTCCAGTTTTCTAACATTATTCAGTAACACAATGGAGCATGATTATATCCCCAACACCCTCCAATAGAACAAACTGCAGCTCAAAGTGGTGTTGTGACAAAATGCCTCATCATGTTTGTTATCATTAATTCCAGACAAAAGTCCGGATTTAAATGACCAAAACCTCTGGAACAGCACGTCCATCCACTCCTTCAGATCCATCCCAATTAGTCATCGTCCTTTTCTCACTCTCAGCAGGTCTCTATATACAGATGCCACATGATTAAATGTCTTCCAGATGGAAATAGTATTAGTCCTTGAAATAAAATCAAAATAGCTGATAACATCAGAGGCATCCATCAGCCTGCTCCTGCACATAGAGGCATTGCAGATTTATTTGAAGTCAGAAGGGACATAAACGTATGACGGCTTTACTTTTGAGCTACTTCTTTAGTTTTTACTCTTTGTTCCCTCTGCTTTGCTGCTGAGGCCATTTTCGTAGACTGCATCACGAGGGTCCCACCATGGACTCCTGTGAGGATTTGACTGCAGTAAACAGACACTTTTCCTGCAGGTTATTGCACCCTTTAGCGAGCAGCTTACCCATGCTGCTGAATTAATGTTCTTGTTGTTCTGGAACTTTCCACACGGCAGGATAATCGTGCTGATTTTTGGCCCCACCCCTCTGTCTAATAATCTTACAGATGTGCATGGTGTTGTGATGTCATGACCAAACGATCCTGTATACAAGTGGCCAAAATGGATGTTCTTAGTTGGGTGGATTTGCTCAGCCTTAAGCTGACTTTCCACTGGATGTGTAAGCGGTGCGTGATGTAACAGGGATATAGCTCTTCCCAGCGTTTCAGACGCGAATCGGCAGTGAACCTTTCCACGCGGCTGGTCCTGGGAGGTCACAAAGGCGTGTTTCCATCAGAACTTCTGGGTCATTTTACCAGAACTCCCACGTCACCAGGCCAGCCGATCGAACCGTTTTCAGGAACTTTCGGAGCACCAGGTGTAGGGACTAGGAATGGCCCAATAGAGTCGCTAACTCACTCGTCTTTAGTAAAATTAGAAGAGTTGCTTATGAAGCAGAATAGAAGCAAAAGAAGATAAGCACCGATTGCGATGCTTTAAAATCGCCAATTAACACAGAAAACATCGCAAAAATACCCCACAATAACACAATTCTCTGGGCTTTGTTATCTCACAGAGCACTGTAAAAAACTACCCTTCATCCGGTCATTAAACGCCATATTTGACAGCAGCTCTCCCGGTCCTCTGAATGGATCGAATCATGCTGTACTTTGAATGAAACTTACTGTTACTGTGGATGCTTTTTGGCACTGATCAGCGAACAGTCGCAATATAAGATAAGATAAGATAAGATAAGATAAGATAAGATAAGAACAACTTTATTTATCCCGAGGGAAATCGTTGTGTCATGTACATGCTCAAAGCAGTAGGAGAGACAAAGGAACAGGTGAAACAGATATAAGATATTCGATATATACAGTAAAAATAGTGTACAGTAGTATACAATAGGATAGTGCAAGAGAAATACTCAGATAACAGAACAAATAAAATACATGACTGTATCCTGGTGAAGAAGTAATTAAGCTATCAGTGCAGGCGATTTTCGAAAATGATCAGAGTATTGTGCAATAGAATTAAGGGTAGTAGCAGCACATGATGGAGGGATGCAAACATACTTCCAATAAGAACTCTTGGGTAATATTGCACGGTCTGGGATGGAACAGAATAGCCTAGGTAATAGTATTAGGAGAATCACCTACAGGGTGAGGAAGAGTTAAACAATCCTATTGCCACCGCTACGAAGGATTTTCTGTGGCGGTCAGTTCTGCATTTAGGGGCAATGAGTCTTTTGCTGTGTGTGCTTCGAAGGTCCGTCATGTGGGCGTGCATGGGGTGGGAGGGGTTGTCCAAGATAGAGAGAAGCTTTTTAGCATTCTCCTCTCAGACACCTCCTCCAGGGTCTCAAGTCTGACACCCAGACAGAACCAGCCTTCCTAATCAGCTTGTTCAGGGTATATATGCTGGCAATATGCTGACATCTGCAAAGTCCTGAAAGCTGATTTTGACTGGAGACACAACAGCTGGAAGGACTGGGATAGCTTACCTCACGGTCAATTTCCCCTCCCACAATTTAACCTGAAGTTCCGACAATGGAAGCACGTATAAAATCACCGGAGATTTGCAAGGTCATGCTTGATTTCGGCAGTTTACACAATAATAAGAAGAAGACAGCAGCAAAGGGCTGTGGTTTACTTTACCTCTGCTATGGAGGCGTCACATATAACGGCATTTTTTTTCACTAGTTAAGCAATTGTAAATCTACATGTGGCTTTTATTTTGAAAGTAGTCGGATGCTTTACGCTGCTCCTGAGTTTGTCTTCCTGTCTGGCCTGATCTGACCTGGTGCTTTCTGGAAGCGTAGCGTGTAAAAAAAAAATAGACTCGAAACGTAAATTTAGTGGAGCGACGCTACACTTGCAGATGCAACCGAAAGCATTCCTTCGTGGCCGGTGGAAACACGCCCACTGGTTATAACAGTGGCTATTAGATGTGCACTCGGGCTTTGCGGATGTTGCGCTACGCTTATGCGTCGGGTGGAAAGCTGGGATTTGCCACAAGGTTTGGAGCTCTGTCATCCGAGAAAGGGCTCAGAGTTGAGTCGCTGCTTATCCACGTGGAAAGGAGTCAGCTGAGGTGGCTTGGGTATCTAATAAAGAGGCCTCCTAGCTGACACCGTCTGTGAGTTCTCCAGGTACATCCCACTGCAAGGAGACCCAAAGACCCAGAACTGGCTGGAGGGATCTTATGTTCTCTCTGGGAATGCTTCAGGGAGTGTCTCACTAGAGACAGGAATGTCTGGACGTCCCTCTGGGACCTGTTACCCCCTTGACCCGGCCTTGGATAAGCAGGACAAAATGAATGGGCGAATAATGTAATTAAGCTGCCGTCGCCATCTTGAACTAATTTGATTCCTAAAGTAAACCTACTTCACTTCAGTCTTTCATGAGGTAGATAAAACCATTATCAGTCCCATCCTTTTTGCGACAAATGAAAATGAGTTGTTTTGGGGGATAATGCAAAAGTCATCCCATTTTCTTCTTCTCTATCCAGCCAGCGTCCAAGCAGCTCTATGAAGATGAAACCGCCTCCTCTGTGTTTGGTCTGAGGTCTGTGATCGACCCGTCTCCTTCTCCGTCCCCATCCCCGTGTGGCTCAGATCACCCCCCTCTGGGCTGGAGCAGCAACAACAGTAGCAGCAGCACAGCCACATCTGCCACAACCGGACCACCCGTCGCAGATAAACCTCGCTGGCACCTGGGCAGACGGGCGCCGGCTCACTTCTTACCGCCCGATATCACGGGTAGGAAAAACAGTCTAAATCTTTTGGGATTCAAAAATGTTTTGAATGTATTTTTTAATCTCATATAGCCTATTTGATCTCTATTGGAACTAAAAAAATGCAAGTGATTCCGATTAAACCTCCAGGATGTTTTCTCAAAGTTAGTGAGGCGGTGCTGCCTACATACCCTGGAATAAATCAGCTTGTGTGGTGTAACCCCTCCTAGCTCCTGCCTCTGGAACGTTTAGACTGGCACAACATCTCAGGGAACTCATGAATGTCTCATGGCCTTGTTTAGTAACCTGAAGCAGTCAAAATAAAAGCCTTTGTTTCATATCTTTAGGAATGAAATGAGTTTAAAATGGTCACTTGGGTGAAAACAAATACTCTGAACTCTTAATGTTGTTGATTTTGTGACCGTTATGGTACTGCATGACTTCCTCTAAATACATGTTTGTGTAGTCAAGAGACACAAAATACACAAATTTGGAGAAATAATCCCAAGTTACACATTTTTAAATAAATAAACACCAAAATAACTTTTGCTGCTTTACATCTGTTGTAACTAAATATGATAAGATACACTCAGCTTAAATGTTCATCCCCCCCCCCCCCCCCCCCCCCCCCGTCAGAAAGGTGCAAACACACAAAAAACAACCAACAGTCCCATCAACACCAGCTTTAGGGGAGAAAATCAGCACTAGAACATTTTCTTCTCAAGATCACTTTCATTCATCTCTAAGAGTCCTTTTGCTTTGTGAGAATGTGTGTGTGTGTGTGTGTGTGTGTGTGTGTGTGTGTGTGTGTGTGTGTGTGTGTGTGTGTGCGCGTGTGTGTGTGTGTGTGTGTGTGTGTGTGTGTGTGTGTGTGTGTGTGTGTGTGTGTGTGTGTGTGTGTGTGTGTGTGTGTGTGTGTGGTGTCAGAGCAGTTAGTATGCTGCGGTCTCCCTCAGCCACATCATTCTGACACTCCTGTTTCCACTCGTCTCAACCAAACATCCCTGTTGTTTACTTTGCTCTGTTTGCATGCATTTGTGTGTGTTCTTGCATGCATTTGTGTGTGTTCTGGTTTCTGGCATAGCAACTGCTTCGTCACCGGTTGCCTCTCTCCTCCTTCTCCCACATATCTATCTATAGTTAAACGTCTCTTTCTGCACCTCACATGGAGGAGAAGGTCAGGTCTAATGATGCCTTTAGAGACTGTGCAGGAGCGACGTAAAAGGTAGTACAGAGGAGGATGAAGCATGCTTTTCAGTTTTATTTTTGGTCCTTCACCTAAAGCAGGTTTGCATAAACATCCTAAGTGTTCAGGATCAATTTAGACCTTTATTCAGGTCGTTTTTCAGCGTTCACAAGTCTTGCAGCCTGATTGAGGTAGCCCAGTCTTCTGCCAGAAGGATTTAGGGCTAATATTTCACTAGCATGATGGTTTAAGTGTTTTTATTACTGTTTTTGTCTGTTATTTGCATTAATTATCTAGTTTTGAAGTTGTTTCAAAATGTTAAAGTTTTTATTGTTTATTCATTTAAAAATTTTTATTTATTTATTGTTAATTTATTTTCTCACTCAACAGTTTCATTCATCATTAATGCAAAATACAATCATCAACAATCTCCTAAGTGAAAAAAAGGGGGAGGAAGAAGAAGTCTTATATGACCTACCCCTTTCTACTTCATAATGTAATTTACAGAATGGCCTTATACATAAACCAAGTATAGAACTACCTTATCTTTGTAAACAAAATGACAATAAAACTTATCAATATACTCATTCAATATTTACTTAACAATCATAGGATTCTATGATTTTTTTCTTTATATAGTCTCTTAAATTGATCGGTGGTTAAACATTTTTTCAGGTCATCATCCAGATTATTCCATAATTTTACTCCATATACTGAAATGCACATTTGCTTTAATTTTGTTCGTGCAAAAACTCTTTTAAACTCAGGCTTTTTTCTAGTTTTTCCATCATTTGAAATCAAAACAAAATAACTTCACTGGCAGTAACCTCTTTTATGCCTTGAACACAATTAGTAAAGTTTTCAAATTAACCAAATCCCTGAATTTCATCATTTTTTATTCAATAAAAAATCTATTAGTATGTTCTCTAGCATCTACTTTATATATAATTCTCATAGCTTTCTTCTGTAATAAAAACAAAGGATAAGTGTTTGTTTTATATGTGTTGCCCCAAACCTCTATACAATAAGTCAAGTATGGAACAATAAATGAATAATATAATGTATGAAGTGTTTTATATGGGGTTTCCAATTAAGTTTATGATCCAAGATGACCCCTAAAAATCTTACTTCATTTACTCTTTCAACTGAAGTACCATCTATGGACAATGTAACAGAATCATCTGTCTTCCTGTTACCAAAAATCATGAATTTCGCTTTATTCCAATTTGTAAATAGTTCATTGTCCATAAACCACTTCTTAAGTTTAGTCATCTCACTATCCATATTTTCCAAAATAATTTGTAATTTATTCCCAGAACAAAATATAGTTGTATCATCAGCAAACAAAATGAACTGTAATATTTTGGACACATCACAAATATCATTAATATACAAATTAAAGAGCTTAGGTCCCAACACAGAACCCTGTGGGACTCCATATGTAATAATTTGAGAATCTGAAATTTCAGCTTCTAACTTTATGAATTGATTTCTTTCATTCAGATAACTACTTAACCAATCATGAGCTATCCTTCTTATCCCGTAATCCTTTAACTTAGAAAGTAACAAACTATGGTCTATGGTATCAATTACTTTTCTTAAATCAATAAACAGACCTGCTGTGTATTGCTTCCTTTCTGTTGCTGCTGTAATTTCTTCATTTAATTCTCATAATGCCAAGGATGTAGATTTATTCGATCAAAACCCATACTGATTCTCACTCAGCAGTTTATTGTTTTCAATAAAGTTGTCTAGTTTCTGAATGAACCATTTTTCAAGCACTTTAGAAAACTGGGGAAGCACTGAGATTGGTCTGTAATTATCAAAGCTGTCTATCACCATTTTTAAATATCGGAATTACTTTAGCGATTTTCTTTTTTTCCTGGAGATATACTATTCTGAAAATACAAATTACAAACATAAGTAAGTGGTTTAACAACATACTCAATTGTTTTCTTTACTATAGTCAATATTTCATGACATCAGATGAAAAACATTTGGACCTAAACAGGGCATTCTGGTGTCAGTTCATCATTTTAAAAATGTATTTTTTTTTTTGCATTTTTTGTTACAAAAACAAGTAATCCTATGATATCTGCCTTTTTTTCCATCTGCTCGGCTTCCTTTCTGTAAATTGCCGAACAGGTAGTCTGCAGACAGCTTGCAGTTGCCATGGCAACTCGGCTCTCTTCCTCTTCCCTCCCATCAAAAACATAAGGAGAGGGTTAAAAAAAAGACTACCTGAAATAAAAATGGGAAGTCTCTTGAACTTAAAACAGAAGGTAAAGAGAAGAGAAAAGGCATATGGGAGGATTTACGGTGAACGAATAGTCACCACTCGTTTAGTTCCTTCCTCTCAGTGGCTGTTCCCTCTCTCGGTTCAGCTGTTTTCATGAATGACTGTTAGCCCGACAGAGATGCGAGTGCAGAGCAGGCGGAGACACACGCTTACAAAACAAGACAAACGCTAATTTATTTTGCATCTCGGTATTTAAATTTCATGCTTGTTTTGTTTTTTTAGATCAGCGTTAAATTACGGTTTCAAAGCAAGAAAAAGCATTTTATCATCATCATGCATCAGATTTTATTTCTAAGCCCTGAATGAGGTGGTACCTATGCAGGGTGTGTGAATACGTAGTCAGGAGGAGAGCCGAGCTGCACTCTGTAATCACCCCAGCTTACCTGGGCACCTCCGTCTACCAGGAATCTGACAGGAGGTGGAACTTTTGACAGCAAATCCTGTCGGCTCACCTTTGTGTTCTTTGTCACACGATGAATTCATTAACGGGAATCGGTCCAGATGCTTCTCTAATTGGATCCTGGTCAAAGAACGAAAGTCTAAAGTCAGGAAATGAATCCTTGCTAAGACAAAGTGCTAAAGGGGTGTTAGCTGATCTGCAGGGTGTTTAAAACCCTAACATCTTTTAGTGTGTTTAGTGTGGTGACCGATTAAAACAAAGAGCAAGAAGAGAAAACATCACATTAGAAAGATATTAGTTCTTCGTATATCACCCCATCATCATACTTCTGATGCTGTCCTTGATGTTTTGCAAACTTGTCTGAGCCTGCTAAATGAGTTATCTAACACGCTACTTCTGAAAACAAAACTTTGACATTCTTGCTAATATATGAAGATGTATTTTTAATTTGACTTCTTTTTTAGAAGGATGTCCAAAAATTAAAGACATTTCATGAAAATTATGATTAATGTTTGTGATTCTGATGTGAAACAGGAGTCACATCTGGCTTTCAGGACCTGTTTACTTTCAAATATTTTTCAATTTTCCTAGCATTTTTAATTTTAATGGACTAGGTATGCGGCTTTGAAATGGGGATGGCAGCCATATTGGATTTTAAAGTTTGGACGAGGCAGCTGTTGTGAGAATTATTAAGAGTGAAATGGATGTTTCAGCGCTTTTATTTCTGCTTATCTGTAGATATTTATTTAAACAGAGAGAATAAAAATGTTCAAATATATCTTAATAAGTTAGATGTATCCAAGCAAATGGTAATAAAACCTACTTCAGACCTTCAGAACAGGATCTTGGACCTCAAACTCCACGTTGGACAAGCTTTCATCGTGTATCGTTTGTGAAGCTGTGATTGCCTGTTCTATGTTGTGTCTTTTCCATCAGGATTAATGAGGCAGATGGACCAGCAGGTAGTGGGTGAATGCGAGACAGGAAGTCGAATTTACTGTAGATTTGCGTAATCGCTGACTCACTACTTGCTGGATGACTGTAAATGTCTCGACTAAAACTCAGATTTCCTGGCACACAGCTGAGTGACACAAAGAGGATGAGTCAAATATGTTGTTGGCTAAACAAATGGCAGAAGAGAAAAGACTGCTGGAAAGTCGGAAAGGTAGAACAAACACTGCAGATGCTGTGATGAGAGAGGCGGAACCCGAACAGAGAAGGGCGCAACACTGACAGTTTTAGGGCAGAACATTTTCATTTTAACTAAGATGCACTAAAGTGCCAAATTATGGACTACACGTGTCTACAGCACGATTAGACACTTATTTATTTTAAAAAAAAGTTTATTTAGGGGGGACTTGCTCTTTAAGCTGGACTGGGAAGGAGAAACTTTTAGAGCCACCAAGCATTTTCTTCACAAGTCGCTGCTGGGTTTTTTCTCATTACTAAATGTTTTCAGAGTAAACCCGAAGGCTTGTGTAGGCTCCTATTTCTCACCTTTTTGTGCCGGTGTCGGTACAGGATCTGCTCGGGTGCAAAATCGGCTCGGGGTCCTTCGACTGCCGATGACGTCAAGTACGGCAAACCCACTCGGATAAAATACACTACACATCTATACTGTTGGAAAGAATTTAGCAGTGTCGTTATTAAAATAATGTTTCTTACGACGTAAGTTTGTGTTTATAATGGTATTTGTAAAATAAAACACTATATTGTATTCATCATGTTGAACTCCTCTTTGAGCACATCCCTTGAAGGATCATAGGTATTAGCAACACCTGTGAAATTGTATTTGCAGGAAAGAAGTGTGTCCCGTTTATTGAAGTATTTTGTGTTTAGAGTTTTTGACGTCTTGTCCATGAGTAGTTCAGTTACGCTCATAGCTGCCAGCCAAAACTCTGGAGTTTAAAGTTTTCTGGCTTTACTAAAATACCTGTCTGTACTTATTTGATTGATGGTAGTTTTACTTTCTATCGGACTCCAAATGTAATCATTTGGCACGTTTCTAATTCATAATTTGTAATAATGTAATCAGTGATATTAACATTAGCATTCCTATGGGTTTTTCCACGTATATTAGCATTGCGCTAACCACTCGCTGCCAAATTGCAGCCTTTGCGATTAGAAAATCTCCTTTTGTCACATCGCAATTTAATTGCACATGCAGTTAATCGTTCAGCCCTAATATACATGCAGCTCTATGCTAAAAGTGTATTTTCAAAGAGGTAATGATGGATTTCTTTGTAAAAGTTGTCCATCTTTCCAACAGAAAAATTTGCCTGGACCAACGTAACGTGATAACAACGTAACGTGATTACGTAATTCCGTAAGGTTCATGTTCAGCCAATCAACTACTTTGACGTCATCGGCAGTCGACGGACCCGAGCCGATCTTGCACCTGAGCAGATCCTGTACCGACACCGGCCTCCACCGTATCAGCTTTGTCTACAGGCTGCTTCATCTGCTTGGTTAAACAGGTAGCCTGTTGATCTGAGCAACACTGCCACCTAGTGTCTGGAGGCTGGTTTAGCATTCATTCATCAAAAAAAGATGCTAACAATAATAGATCCTTCTCCCTCCCAGTGGTGCATCCCACTGAGAAACACTCCATTAGAACAACACGTTAACTCCATGCAAAAAGGCCACAGTCAGGAATTGAACCAGCAAATTTTGTGCAGTGCTACCACCACGCGTTCTGTTTATGAGATACCCGCAATGATACAACTTTTCTGCAGTGTTCCAGCAAATTTCCAGCTTTGTTTCAATGTGCAAAACATTTAGCACAATTAAAAATGACTCAGTGTCAACATTTATCACAACTTATGCGCCTCATTAGCATTTTCCCGCCTGTTCTGTCACAAGTGAAGCTTCCAGAAAGCAAAAAACATTTCTGGAATTTTTTTTATTATGACATCATCAAACAATCCAATTGCCAAGACTTGAAATTCAAAAGTGTTGGATTTAACTCAAGTCTTGCATGTCCTCACGTGGACTCATCGTGGGACATGCGTGTCCTGAAGCTTAACTTGAGTGGAAGACATGAGATATTAGCTGTGTGTTGGTCCAACTTCTGCAAACCTGCATCTAATAAAACAAATGGAGTGTATTCCAGCATTTCCTTTAATAACAAGATTAATACACCAACCTTCACTCACAAAGGATGACATACCTTCTTCAAATTGCAGTTTTTGTTTTATTTACTATCCATTTGTCCACTTAACACAAGCTGGTGCCTTAACAGAAGCCTGACAGATTTAACCAGATGGATGAGTAACTGCACTGTAAATCACTGAGGTAATCAAGAAAGGACCTGCCGCCTCCAGTGACTCAGTGCTCTTCTGTTGGCTCTGATGAGACATCAGACGGACAGGAAGGACAGCAGAACAGCAGGTGTCCCTGCAGCATCTGCTGCCAGTCTCTCTGGATTAAAGCACGATGAAGTTCAGTAGAAAAGACTTTCATAGAGGAGGTTTTATTTTTTTGCTCGCCACATTATTGTACATGTAGTTTTGTCTTCTAGTTCTATAAACATCCGGGTTTAACCTAAACTGGAACAAGAGTGAATTAACTGCAGTTATCAGCACAAAACCTACTCAGCATTTATTGGGAATCACCTAAGGATGACATTTTACTGCAGCTATATGGCCGGGAAATGTAAACTAACATTCGCAAGTTTGTTTTTGATTTTACAGTGTAAAACAGTGTATTCTAAACATTTGTGGAATCAATTTTTTACTCATTATTAGTGAAGCACTGTTGTACTGCTTAGAAAGCGTGTACTTTGGAAGCGTTGGAAACTAAAATGTTTTCATCCAGGGTCAAGTTCAACAGAAGTTTCTTAGAAATTCTGCCAAAATACTTCATATGAAACCAACAGTGGCGGGGAACCGTAGAAAAGAAAGAAAATAAACTGATGAATTAACTGATTAGCTCGTCAATCTTGAAGGAGATAAACAGGCTCATCATGAACAAATCTACTACAGTGTAACCTTTTTCCCCAATTAAAATTATTTATATTTTGTCCAAGAATAAAAATAAAACAAGAACTGATTAATTATCATTATATATTTAATGGTCCAAATGGGACTTTTCCAGCAATTTGAAAATAAACTTCTGAACCAAAGCAAGAAAAGTTATAAACTAATAAATCTGTATTCTTCCTATAATTATAGACAGAGTCACAATTTATAACAATTGTTTTATTATATTAGAGAAATACAAAAATGTTCTGCTTAACACTTGAACTTTTTGTTAAACACACATGTGGGAAAGTGGGTTGTGCATCCATTTTTCATTGACTTGGATTGCTTTGTGTACAATTAACTTTTACAAATGCTTTTCAAAGCCAACTTCTAAATAAAAAATAATCTTACTAGACTTGTCATGGACTTTGTCAGGCCTCGGGCTCCTGTTACAGCACAACCAACCTGTGGAGAGTGGTTAAAAAGTGAAGAGCCTGAAGCTCCTAGAGAGGTTTATAACATCTACTGGAAATTAACACCAGATTTTAAAAAAGGCTTATCCATTAGTTATTACTCATTGTGGACACCCGTCTGATGTGATTTATATATAAACGTCCCCCATCTCATGTTAGAGCCTTTATAATGTAATGTGACAACATCTATTAATATACCTAGTGTTGTTTCTAAACAGGAGAAGGAGGCGTAGCTGTGTCCGTAATGGTTTATAGATTTTGGTCCAGTATAAAAGAATCTTTCAGAAATTGTTTTTCCACTTTCACAAAGTCATCATTCCAAGTTATAAACTTTCATTTCTGTGTCGGAAGCTTAGAAATGTAGAATATTTTGTTGAAGTTCCGTTAATAAAAACAAATGTTTTCTTACTCTTCCTCCAGGTGAAGGGGGAGGAGTGAAGTTCCACGGCGTGGACCTCCTCCAGCACTCCCCATCCCCCTCTCCCGGGGAGACCTTTTCCCAGCAGCCCCACTCTCTGGAGCTTGCTACAGACACCTCCCATCAGAGCCTCCCACTTCGGAAGACGCACTCCGACCTCGACTCGGCTCTCGCCGCAGGTGGCTGTCAGACAGAAACAGCTCATTCCATTTGACCCTTTTTTTTGTCAGGTTTCCTCAGTGTGGCAGGCATTTTATTATTACTCAAATTAACTTCAGTCAGGAAATAAAGAAGCTATTATTTTCACAATAAAAGCATACACCGTGCATGGAATCTTTAATTTTCTAGGCTTCAGTTTTAATTATTAAACGTGTTCAAATACAACAATAATCTTTTCAACACCACTTGAAGGTATTCATCTTTGGTTTTAGGGTACATAGTTGTTTTTTTCACCCTTTTAATGTTTTTGTTTCAGTTTTTATGAAACAAGCTATTCAGACCCGCTGTCCGACTTTAACCTTTTTAAAAAAGAACAAACATCTCAGAAAGGTATGTAAGTAGTTTTTGTTTTAAACTCACTTCTGCATTTAGGAGAAGAATTGGGTTCAGTTTAGGGTCAGTTATGCGTTTTTAGATTTAACAGCAGTGAAAGGCATTGGAGCCCGCAGCCTGGAAACAATAGCTGCAGAATTGCTTTTATGTTGTGTTTTTCTTTTCTTTTTCGTTGCACTAGAGCCGGGCATTTCAGAGTTTAAAGTTTTATGAAAACTTTTACATAAATCTGAGCCTTACTGAAAGAAAAAGTCAAACTGTAACAACTCAGCATAACGGTGGTGTTTAGAACAAATCAGATTAGACTAATTTTCTGTCTCGTGGTGGAAAAATAGTTAATCACTTTATTATTAGTTTTATGAGCATGTTTCTTTTATGAGTGACTTTTCAGTTGTCATCAGTTGGAGATGTTGAATCGTGTTAGAAAATAATTTCAGACAATACGTCACTTTGTGATGTCAGAATGTAAAATTCACAGCATTTAAATCTAGACCAACCATAGCAGTAGCAACAGGTTGTGCTCTTCACGTTGGTGAAGCCTCAGCAGGTCGGCCATTGACCTGAATAATTGTAGGTTGGGCCAATCACAGCGCTCTATGTTTGCTTAGTAATAGAGCTGCAATGGAAAAGAATGACATAGAAGGCAGCGGCTCAGGAATGGTGCTCGTTTGGCATCAACTCTGGATGAATTAGACTTGGGCTTTTCTTTGGGACATGAGGTATAAAGTTATTCACTTCAAAAAAACATATATTTCCTTCTTCTTTGCTGGTGTATTGCAGACTGCCCTTTTGACTGATTTCCATAGAGATGTAAACGAGATTGTTCGTTGCTCTTTTTGGTCGTAGCGTTGTCCTATAGCTTGTGGAGACAGTTTGACAGACAATCGCCCTATGATGCTTTACAATTCAAGTACTTTCCAGGAAATGTATTTTAACATTTCTGATGTCGTCCAGGATTCAAACATGTGTCGGAGACTCCTTAATGCTCAGTTGTTAAGTCACTGAAGCACCCAAATATTAGTTTTTTCTCCACAGGAACATTTCCCATGTTTGTCGAACACCTTTGTGTGTTTGTAAATGTAGGATGATTCCCCTTGACTTCAAATATTTCTTTACAACCATGTGTTTGAGGTCTTTACCATGTCAGGAAAAGTTTCATTTAAGAGGATTTCAATACCTAACAGTTAAATTAGAATGCCTAAATAAGTAATTCATTACTTAAACTGCATAGTGGCACAGTTGTTAACACTGTAGCCTCGCAGCAAGAAGGTTGCAGGTTTGAAACTCGGCTGCGACCTTTCTGCGTGGAGTTGCATGTCCTCCCCATGCATGGGTGGATTTCCTCAGGGTACTCCGGTTTCCTCCACAGATCACAACATGCCCTGTAGGTCAACAATTGTACGTCGCTTTGGATAAAAATGTCTGCCAAATAAATAAACGTAAACATAAATAAACATAAATGTAAGTTTTAATGCTATAGGACTTAATAAAATCCACCCCTCTTTTTCTAAGAACATTCAGATTTTTTGGTTCCTAATTCTGATCTCCAATATATAAATTTACAGATATAAAGTGGAGGCAAAAACCACAATTTTAAGTAGCCACGAAAGTAAATTACTGTGAGTTTGTTTCATTTATACTCAACAGTGTACCAGTTCAAGAGTATAACATGCAATTTATTTATGTATTTTTATATCTTATTTGAATTTTGGCCTTTCCTCATCTCATCTACAGACAAACGTTTGGGGCAACGTCCTTCTGAACAGCTTCGCTCAGGAGTTATGGACCATTCTGGGTTGCTGTGCTCCAATACACCAGCCACCTCCTGGAATGGGCCTAAAGGTTCCACCTTTTCTCCCGGAGCATGGAACGAGCCTTACAATTACAGCATGAGCAAAGGTCCAGCAGTTCCTCCTAAGCAACACAGCATCATCGGTAACGCAGGCGGGATGCAGGACGGGGTCATGCTGGTGAGCTCACATTCCAGCCAGTCGTTGAGCTCACACTCCAGCTCTTTCACATCTGTGACAGATCCCTCTGGGAGGACAGGGAACAGCATGTCAGCGGTAACGATGGGGAAACGGATTGAAACAGAAGGAGCGACAGCGGATCGAGGAAGAGGTGGTGGCCGAGATACGGGGCGAGGGAGAGAGAGGTCAGCTCGATCCATAGCAGCGCAGAATGCCTTCAAGTTCCGGGAGCGTTCCCTTTCTACGCCGACTGATTCTGGCTCCTTTTGCTTTACTGAGGCTGGTATGGACCAAGACATGAATTTCACATCCACTGGGAATGGGAACACTATGGCAATAGACTATCAGGAGCATCACACCTTTCACGGTCGTGGTGACAGCTATGCCCTCCTCTACCCCAGAGGGAGTTCTGAAGACAGTGCAAGTACAACGGACACAGTCTCTGTCACAGCCTCAGACTACAGCACAGAGGGACGGTTGCGACTTCGCTCACGTTCCATCTCACTTAAGAAATCCAAGCGCAAACCACCACCTCCTGTCAGGAGTGTCTCTCTTATGAAAAACCTTGGAGAAGCTGAGGGGAGACTCCGGCATGAGGGCGGTCTTTATCGAGATGGCAGACCAAAAAGCTTGCATATACCCAGGGACCACTTTCCAGACTTCCAGCCAGATTTCCTTTTGACAAGCTCATCTTGCTCCTCTAAAACCAGTGTCTGTGAAAGAGAACTAGGACAATGTGGAAATGAAGGACCTCCCAGTCTTGAGATTCATGCACCAGAAAGGGAAAGAGAAACAGAAATGACCTTCTCTGCTCACTGGCAGTTGGGAGAGTGGAAAAGCAATGACCCCTACAGGTAAAACAGCTCAATTTGGATGTCTGAGATATGTTTGCACTGTTGTATAACTGGTTTTGCAACCTACTGTTGACTGTTGATACTCTTTTCTTCCTGTTTTCCATAGATCTTTGTCGGGCTCCAGTACAGCAACAGGTACTACAGTGATTGAATGTATGAAAGTCAGAAGTAGCTCAGAATCCCTTCTTGACTCTCCATCCACCTCCAGAGCTACTTCCCCATCCCAGCTCTCCATGGAGACGGATGTGAAGGCTTCCTCACCTTTAAAACCTCCAGGACTCATATCACCATCGAGTGGCTATTCAAGCCAGTCAGAGACTCCCACCCCAACTGTTCCAATCAGTCAAGGTACAGTAGGGACTATAGGGTGCAAGATGCGCCCAAAGATCCCAGAGAGGAAATCATCACTACCGTCTCCAAAGGACCCTGCTGCCAGGTCAAGATTGTCCTTTGAAATGCCAGGGAATGCACATCTGGAGCTGTCATTAATCAAGCCAAAGCAAAAGGCAAGCAGGCGACATTCAGACACATCCACAGCACCAAAACCTGGAAAAATCAGCCCCAGTTCCTCTCAGGCATTGCCTGTGGTTACCCAGAATGAGTTGAAGACCATTAGGCTTCGTTCTGTTTCTCGTGGTGACCTAGACGATTGCCCGGATGGAGCCTCTGACACAATTGAAGAAGAACAGCATAGCAGAAACATTGGTGAAAACCAAAGCCCACCACCCACTCTGCCAAAACCTAAACCACCTGTTGCCATCAAGCCTCCATTGCCGAAAAGACCCATTAACCTTCTTCTTAAATCCCCTTCTCCTACCTCCACCTCCCCTGTAGCTCTTGACTCGCCTCCTGGCTCACCTGTAGAACGTCCGGTGCCTCTAGGCAACATCTACAAAGTCATGAAAAAGCCCAAACCCAAAAAGCCAACACCACAAGCTCCAACAAATTCCGCTGTTCTTCCAGATTCTAATTCCACCAATGTGCCAAAGTCTACCTACGATCACCATTTCCTCCTTCACCCTCAATCCCTCTTTGATCTCCCCCCTCTCCCAGACCCCCAGCCTCTTTTGGAAGACCCACTTCTTGAACCTGAATTTGATGGTGAATCAGACAGTTGTTTAGGGCCAGAGGATGGAGGGTCTCTACCTTCTCCCTGCAGTAACAAAGAGACCCCTGAGCTCCAGGACAAGAGCAAGACACTTCCTTCACGGATGACAATCTCCTGCCTGGCAGAGCTGTCAGACAAAAAGAAAGCCAAGGTAAGGAAGATATCTTACATCACCTTGTAGATGACCATGCTTAATTCTACAAGTGAAACATTATTTTTAATTTCTTTTTCAGGTTCCACCTCCTGTCCCAAAGAAGCCAAATGTATTGCTTCTTCCCACATCACACCAGTCTACAAATGGCAGCACAGACCGACAGAACCAGACTGACAGCCCCGTGGGCTTACGGTCCCCTGATGGAACATTTGCACCAGATGAAATTGTTCCAACTCCCAGTGTTCCGGAGACACCTGAGCAAGATGAGACCGACCTGGGAACAAATGAGGACAGTTCAAAGGAGTCGTCCTTGCAATCGTCGCTCCAGGATTCTTTTACAGAACTGGAAGGAAAGGTGGCCAACACAATCATTGGATCAGGTATGCCTATACTTGGGTCATATAACTGGCTGTGAAGGTACTTTGTTGGCTTTATCTATAAAGTCATACATCTCTTCTTTTAAGCTCTCATTTGGGGCTTAATTAGACATAATGCATCGACATTTACTATTTAATGGTTTGACTTTTTATCACTTTCTTGTGGCTAACCCTTCATGAAAATATTAGTGCCCAAGTTTTTATATCAAAAATGCACGAGGCACCTCTAAGGGTTAAAGGCTTGGTCATTTATAATAGGTCTTTTGCTTACTTTGGTATTGATGTTGAATCAAATAAAGGCCATTTTTTACAGATCGAATTCAAGCAGATTATTACTATCATTACCGCCGACATAAATCTATAAATTATTAGCTTTTCAAATGACTTGAATCAAAATAGCTGCTAAGGCTAATCATCTTTACCAATTAAATAATCATCAATAAAAGCAATAATTGAATCAACTGGACTGATATGGAGCTACAGTTTAGTATAGTATAGCTGAGAGCCATCCTTGAGACAAACTCTAGACATTAATATATTGTTTGTGAACTGTAGGCTCTTTCGGACCGTAGGGACCTTTTGTAGTTCCTTTAGCCTTTATAGGAACCAGCCCATTTTTGCTCGTGTTCAGACAAATAGGAACTAGGGACCTTTCCCTTCAGTTCCTAGAACCATTTAAGCTCCTACTCTTTCATTGTTGGAGACAGTTCAATTGGTTTGTTGGCAAAATTTCCCCAAAACCACTGGGCTGATTTCAAAACAACTTTTGCATATAATTGATTAAATCTGCTATTGTATAACGTTTGGAGTCAACCCAGTTCAAGATGGCTACCACAACCAACTGGGTTGGGAAAACACCTGAGTACCTCCAAATCAGTGGATTTTTCAGACACTGAGCTAGAACTTGATGTTGTGGTAGCTATGAGTCATTTCAGGTGCTGACATGCATGATTTTGCACGAGATTACGAAAATATTATTTCAATTTTTTGACAAAACAGATATATCAATCATTTCTCAACATGATCTGAGTTTTAAACTCTGGCATGAAAGGAAGCAGATGATTGGGTACAATTTTTATACACATGCCTTGTGGAGATTCATCTTTAAGCAAGATGTAATTAGTATGATACAAAAACGTTATTATGGTGTCTGCAATGTTCAGATGATTCAACCACAGATGAGAAGGCTGTTCTCCACATCACTGAGGAAACAGATGACGACTTGTTGACCAGCACATCTACGACTCACACCACTGAAGACCTGTTCACAATAATACACAGGTTTGAACAGATTCAGACACTTACATTTGGTAAAAGAACATTTGAAACATTACAAATCAATACACAGGATGTGGTAGCTTTTCACTGCTGTTGAAAAACAAGGCGGCATCTCATCATTGTTACAGAAACAACATTAAGCTTGGCTGGAAGATTTTTATAACCCAGAGTTTGATGCAAAATGCATTTTATGTGGTGGGTAGAGTATGGGGTTCCCTAGCAACAGCTTCATGTACAGCAGTGACCAGTGATTATTTTTTCTTCCTTACTTCAAAACCCCCGTCTCTCTCTCATACACACGACTAACACAGGAGAGCTAGTCTCTAAGCAACAAGTGTTCATGATTTCACCTTGTGCGGTGCTCAAATTAGCTTGAACGACAGAGGAGACAGGAAGGCCCGTATTTTGAAAATCACGATGTAACAGAAGGCATTAAGTTTTGTAAAAATGAAAGCTATCAGGTTTAGGCGGAAATGCAGAAAAAAATTGTTCAAGTAGCTCAAAAGGCAAACAATGTGGTTCTTTTAGACACTCGCTACAGTAGTCCAGATTATTTATTCAAAGGATATTTTTACTCAACTTAAAGCATGTTTTTTTTCCATTCCAATGAGAATTAAGATTTAAAAAAGTACCACTGATTTACCACTAGGTGACAATGATGTTAACATTATTAAAACATCAAAATACAAGGAAAGAAAAAGCAAAGCAGCAAATATTTTTTTGGTGACATAGAAAATGTTGCAAATTTTTTGTTGATTTTTTAAAATGAAAACAGTACTTCTAGGATTTAATGGGGGCTGTTCACTTTCCAAAACATCTATTTTAGAATGAACAGGGTGTTTAATACTGGTTATTTACTGTTATTCACTGATCTTTTTCAGGTCCAAGCGGAAGGTTCTGGGTCGCAAGGAGCCATCTGACTCTTTTGGCAGCCGCCAGAGCCTGGTGTCGCCTGTGAAGCACAGCACCAGCGGGAGTGACCTTCGAAATTTTACCTTGGGGAGCAGCCAGAGGTCCAGCTCTCGCAATGAGAACTTTATGGCCCTGCTACAGAAGAAAGGCAGCAAGTCTTCCAGCGGAGGAGCAAGGGTATCCGCCATGGAGCTTCTGAAGAGCACAAATCCTCTAGCAAGACGCATCACAGAGTTTTCCTCCACCATGGCATCAAATGCTGAGGGAGGAGATGCTCCATTTGGGACTGACACATCCACTGATCAATGAAAGGAAGTCTTACAGATGTTCGTCAGGCCTCTTTACTGTTTTTGGAGATGCCAGCGCATTCTACAACCCAACAATCACGGAAGATATGAGTACTCACACTACAGTAGGATTGCTCCAACTTCTGACGGACCATTTCAACAGTCCAAATTAGATCTGAGCACATTTTTTGACAAAAATGGTCCTTCTCAAGGTTGGAGCACTATGGTTGCTGGTCAAACCTGTCCATGCAGACTCAGTGGAGATAAAAGCATTTTCCTCACTACAAAGACATTACAAGATTGATGGATTGAGGTCACATTGTCATCGCAGAGTTCAGTTTGGATTCTCTGTGGGTAGTTTGATGGATGAAGATGACACTGGGAATGTATAAATCAATATACAGTAGTTTCCTTCACTTCTGGTTTCTTTGGGGTGAAGATAAAGGAAGTGTTCAGTGACGGGTTGAAAGTATTTGAACCTGTGACGACATTGATCTACAAGGATACCACAAAGGATTAGTAATCAAAGCGTTACGTGGAGTAGACTGAAGAATATCTGGGACTTGCACAATCTGTCCACTACTGTTCGGACAGCCACGATCAATTGTTTTGTGATCTGGTAACTGAAGAAGGTAGAATGACTAGACCACGAACATGGTGGTCCCTGCAATAGCCTAGCAGACCTGTCATTTTCAACAGCAAAGGGCCAGATTTACAAAACGAAACTGCATGGGGGCTTTGTTGCCACCAAAGACGAGGCATGAGCATGTCCCAATTTGTGTTGATCGTACTGTGAATGTGGACCATCACAAAACATTCCACAGAGGCACCAAGTAAACGGACGACACTTTGGAACGCAAAGCACTTTGGTTTTTCGTTGGCCTTGGAGGTCGCCTGTGTGGTGAAATCAACTTACCGCTGCATTTTTCTCATTGTTTTTCCTCATCGGCCATTATCTTTTTATTCTGTGTTTAGATGTTGTTGTTGCTCCTATTTTTATACATTCTAGATGGTCATTTATTGTACATGTTTAATGAGATCATCCTGTATGTATCTGTACAAAGATAAATGTAAAGCATCTATCGACGGATTTCAGACATAAAGACTTAAAATAATGTACAAAGCAGCATAAAGGTGGACTACAAACTGCCCACACAATGGAGTGAAAACACACGCACGCACGCACACACGCACGCACGCACACACGCACACACGCACGCACGCACGCACACACACACACACACACACACACACACACACACACACACACACACACCTATACATAAGGCATGTTTGCCATGAAGGAAAAACAGAATAGGCCAGTCTATTCAAGTGTGTGGTGATATGTATGTGTGTGTGTGTGTGTGTGTGTGTGTGGAGGGGGGTGGGGGGCAGCAATCATGCCTGTTGAGTTTCTGTAGAGAGAGCATGAAGCAGGCCTGGTTATTAAACAGGGTTTTTATTTGTTTTGGTCTCTGGTATTGAGACCAAAGAACTGTTAGGAATCACAAACAGACCACCGGGGACCTACAGTAACAGTCTGTATGTATGGGTGTGTTTCACTGAAGGACACAGAGGATCAAAGACAGAGAGAGAATGTGCACACATGTATGTATGTATGATTTTGGGTTTGGATATTTTAGTGTGCCTCCTTACTAGCTTTCATAAAAAGCGTTTGCGTGTTGGGATGGTGTAAGTGTGCATTGTTACCCCATTTGCCCTCTTTTTTGGGGGGGGGTATAGGATTACAATGACCTTTTGAAACCTCTTTAGGTGAGTCTTGCTACTTGGCGGATACCTATGACATAACCCAACCCAACCAGAAGAGGGAAGTCTAACTGTTAATTTGTCACTTGTAGAAGGTCACAAGTCATAGCTAGTTTAACTTTTTGCTAACTCTCCCCAAAGACAACGTTAACATCCCTTCTAACCTTTTCCCGCACACGGTAAAAGGGTTTTATTGAGGTGTGTTTCCAGCTGGCTTGGTTGTAACACTCTTTAGGAAGATGTATGTTTGTGAAAGTTCAACAAAGTCAATAGAAATTTTTAAAATGTAAGTAAACTGTCTTCAAAAAGTACCCTGAAAACAGTCCTGGAAAGGGAGGTAGTACTTCAGAAATGACCTGGAAACATCTGATGGGTTGAAACGTTCCTATAAAGACCCAAAGGCCAATGCCTGCTGCTTGGTAACATTTCAATAGCCAGTAAAGAAGCAATAAACACCAGCCTTTATTTCCTCAAATCCACCTTGTAGCTCAGATCTTAGAGGACGTAGGAACGTTCCGGGTTGCATCAAGGAAACGTACCTCTACAAGCAACCCAACTTATGACTCCATTTGATATTGGGACCAAAGTTGGATGTTAAAAGAAGTTATCCTTTTAAACCAGTTCTATGTGGGAAACAGAGTTCCACTGATAGCTGTTGTGTCCCATGATATGTGGAGCCATGCCAAATTACTAGGCTCTAGAAGTAGAACAGTGACGAGTTAAATCAGGTTTTATTTGTGATTTATTGGGTTTGTTGCGTATTCTAAGTGCTGCCAGTTTGAAATGACGCTGTTACCGTGAATGGCTTAACCACTGTTAGTTTTGCCAATGGTGCAAAGGGTGAAATGGAGCTTGCCCTCGAAAACAACAAAAATTCTAAAACCATGAAAGGTTTCAGAGCCTTGACGATTACAGGAGAATAAAAACATCTGGGCTCTAAAAGATTTCAGAACCAAAGAGATGCTGGGATCGTAAGGACGGCAAAATCAAAAGCGTTCTGGTACCAGGTCGGTTTGATTAGTGGATTTTGTCGTTTGGATGAACAAGTTCTGTCACCACCAAGGATCCTAAGCTGTCTGACAGGAATTGTGATTCTAGACTGAGGGAATGTTGTGAGACTCTCTAGCTGACAAATTGGGAGCCTGATGGTTCCCTCCATCTGTTAACAGAGTGATATTACAGCATCTGAAGGGTTCTGTTTGTTTTGCCCTCCCTTCTGTACGCTCTGCCCCTCTGTTCGTCGCAGAGAAGCAGCACCGATCTGCATCACCCACCTTCTCACAACACCCAGGACTCCTCCCCCCTTTCATCCCAGTCAGAGTGTGTTCTCCATCTGCGTGGCTTTCCCTCTGCTGTAACCTCCCATCTGGCATATACTGCACTACCCCTTAGTACCATTTCATCTTTCTGTCTGCTTTCCCCTCTTTTAGCATCCCCATCTCTCTCTCCTCGTAATTCCTTGCTGATTCTTTATCGTCTGTCTGTTCTTCCTCACTGCGTTCAGTCTTAGAAGACACAATGCAGGATGAATGTCAAGGAAAAAAGAGGCAGTTCTTTAGAAAAATTGAGCACTTTCATGTTTTTCATATTTGCCAAAATAGCCCCATAGATGGATGAATGAACTGAATCACCAAGGCACATGCTTTATCCCAAGGGACCGTATCCCCTGACATGTTTTGGTCTCTGTCCTTTTTCTTGTTTGTTCTGGCTCACCGTTGGGATGTTCTGATAAGCTCTAACACTCGGTTAAGGATCAGACACATACATGCTTCCATCTCCCCCAGTCCCAGTAGACAAAAATCTCTCCTGGTGCTCCCCCTTGTGGATAAAAAAGGTACTGACACATGAAGAGGAAAAGAAGCATACACTCCTTCACACACATCTCTCTTCCCAGCAGCAATCCTTCAGGTACTCCATCTTACCAGGAAAAATTATTCTCAAAAAAGCATAAATTATCACCATGTGTGATAACTAGTGGTGATACTTGTTTTAAATATTTAGTGAATGAAAAAGATAAACCTATAAAGTTCTGTGTTTGTTTGCCTTGTATACTGAACTATGGGCATTGCTGCAGCACCTACTGTGGTTTTCTTTGTTTTTATGTTTCTGATGACATCATTTGATTTATTTCTGCTACCTTCATGGTGGACACACAAGTATTGGGCCAAAAAACAGTAAACCGCAGGAACTCAAATCTAGTCGGACAAATATTTGCTTACATCTGCATTCCTACACAGGTGTGCAGGTGTTCCGTATAATATCCTTCAGATTTGTTGCCGAGATGAAATGTGACCCAAGGGAGGACATGGGTGTTTTTGGGTCCAGTCCAGATGAGCGGGAGCCGAAACAAAGAATACGAATGCAGCGTCAGGAGCAGAAGAATGTGTTTAAAGGTGTGGTTCTCTGAAAAAACATTTTTAAATGATTATTTCTGATTATAATCGGTCATTCCGGGTTTTTCACACAAGCTGAACATGAAAATAGTTTCCTACACTTGTCTCCTGCATAAACGTCTGATAGAAAATAGATGATGAAATTCTAGGATGTGAAAATCCTGACAGAGCTACGTCACACTGTCACTTAACATTCATGGACTCACCCATCTTGACTCATGACGGGGAAGGCTCTTGTTGGTTTAACGTCCAGGAAACAGCCGAGAACGTCTCAGCTAGTAGAAGCTAACTGTTAGCATTAGCAACACCACCACACAGCAGAACTCCTCCAGGCCTGTGTTATTTGTGGAGATAAAACATCAACGTTGCAAAGCGAACTGAGTTAGTGGTAGTGTTGTTTTGCTATTATCCAATCAGAGGTGAGATGTCCATAGCCCCAGTCGGCCCCAGCCTGGCCCGGTTGATTCCACACATCCTTGCCTTAAGCCCATGTGGGCTGATTCTACCCCCCAATCAGAGGCTTGCTCTAATGGAAGGTGTGAATTTGCTGTCAGCAGTGGGTGTGTTGGCCCCGGTCGGTCTGAAGCAGACCCCCTCGAGAAGAGGGCTGAGAATGAGCCTTGGTTGGCCCGGAAAAATGCCAGGCCACCCAGATATGTAAACAACCTACGCTACCCGGCCCGGGCCGACCCGGTACAGATGGGAATGGCCCATAAGGCTCCCAAACCTGCCGTCTGACGCTGAGCTGTGACGTGGGTGATTGGTAATTCCTTGAAATGGTGCATGGTATGTTTTTCTATGTGACGTGAAATTGACAAACTTTTCCAATCTGAGGGGTTCCCCGTCTCTTTTCTGTTGATGGCTAATGGGATAGGGGTAGAAGACTATTTTCACGTTCAACCTGAATATTCAACTCAGAGTGATGGATCATAGTTCAATAGTAACAAGGAAAAAATGTTTCTCGGTGAACTTGGTCTTTAATCTATGTGAAAACATGCTTCTCTATAAAGGGTGTGTTTGTAAAATGCGATGAAGATTTCTATGATGCCAGGTGAGGCACTGACAAGGATATGTGTCACTGTATGCTGGTATGAAAGGAAGCATTCTCTCATATAAAGGTGTTTATTGTTTAACCCTCTCAGGCTCACAATAAGTTTTGATAAAAGGACGAACAACTTAGTCCTTCAGGGGTACATCAGAGTTAAAAAATGCTCATGAAATATGTGGAGTAACCAGGTAGGTAGGTTTTAAAGTTGCAAAACTGCAACGCCTGCCTCCAGAGGGTTAATATCAACATGAATATGTAGTTTTTCCAAGAATTTCTCAGAAACAAAGTTGCTTTAGAGGCAGAGACTACATGGAAGCTCCAAAACCAGCTGACTCGTTACTGCCCACACAGAGCAATATTAACAAACTTATGAGATTTGCCAAAGGTGACAACTGACTGTCTTTGTCTCACAGAAATATCAGAGCAGTGAGCTTAAGTGTCTCTGAGCAACTATGCATCCAAGAAAATCAGAAAAACCCATCTATAAAATATGTTTTATTGATCTGTAAAGATGATTATTTAGAACATTCACTCTATTATCCCGTCTATGTGAGGAGACGGGCTACAGGGAGAGCAGACAGAGGGAAAATGGAGAGTTTTATTTAGCTCACTGTGGGGCTTATTATGCGGACATCCACACATGTCATCATCTCCTGCACCACCATCTCATTTCTCTCACCACGTCTCAACTGTTTCGCATGTCAGAAAATATGTTTGTTAAAAAGATTTTCCCCTTCTGTTCACTCTTGTTTGCTTTAAGGCATGGTGAAGTGGTGCTGTGTGGCTTACAGGTTAGATTAGCATCCACATGATCAGATAATAGTTTTTGTGCTGGATTAAAACGACAGAGTTGTGTTGTTCACATTTTAAGAGCAAAACCAAGCATTGAAGCTAGTCAGAAGAAAATAAAAATTAGGATGATTTCTTTTTGTTTCGCTTTTTCAATTTTGAAGATTGACGGAGTTCAACGTTATTTAGATTCAAGTCAAACTTTCCTCATTTAGTGTCTCGGGTAAAGGCAATGCCAAGATTTAAGTTGAAATGTTGAGAATAAAATGAAATAAGTTTTTGTTAAACTGTTAAGAATAATGTGTGTGTGTGAAAAGTTCATTTGCAAAAACAGATAACTTTGTTCTTATCAATTTTCCATTAATTCATCTTTTTAAATGATTTATTTAACTTGATATCAGACAAAATAAGATTTGTAGATTTTCACCAAATGGCTTTTATGTTTTTTTGCAAATGAAGTTATCATGTTTACACCAAAGCCAGTGAACAGGGAAATTATTGTTCAGATGAAATAAAAAATGTTTGTATTCAAATCACAGTTTTAATAAAACAATGTCAATGTTGAGATTAGGAGAGGAAAATTAGCTATTCAAGTCAAAATATTCAGGAAATAGTAAAAAAAAAAAAAAAAGAAAGAAGAAGCTCAAAATAGGGAGATGTCGAAGGATCTTTGTGAATGCTGAGGTTATCTGAACATTAAAGTTAAATTTAGAAATAATATAAATACATTTTAATAAAGTTAAAATTTTGATAAGAAGTTAAACTTAAAATCTAAACTACAAAATAACATCTTAAAGCACTTCCTTCATTTTTCCATAATAAGAGTCTAATTCACACAAACATGTTTCAACATGCTTTAAAACATTTAAAGATTAAAACATTTTGTTGAAAACTCCTTTTAAACATGGCATCCTGGGGATTCTGAGAGGTTTTCTACAGTTTGTAAAGAAATACATGAAGGAAGAGTTCACATTTAATTTAAAACCTACTTAAAGAATCAGATCTAAATGGTTCGTTAAACAATGCCATACGGGTATTTTAATATTTCTTTTTAGTAATGTTCAACTTTATTATCAACTTTGAAAATACTAAGTAAACATTTTTCCTCAACATTTCCACTTTACACCCCCCACCCCAGCCCCACCCCATACTCCACCATGCAAATATTATGTAAATGTATTTCATTCATTTTTATGTAGTTGTAGATATGGGACCCACATCTAGACAAATACTTTTGCACCAAAAACACCTCCATACCTAAATCCCTCGAGGCGATTTAGCTATAGCCGTAGATCTCAATGTAATGGGCGGTCAGTAACTTACCAGGTTCAGTTGTTCACATCCAGTCAACGCCCATGGCTCTTGACTTACTGAACTATATGTCATATCTGAAATACAAGAGAGTGAATGAAGGCGGAAAATGTCACACAAAACCCCTTTTGAAGCTTCCTTAATTTGAAGGCAAAAGGCTGGGCATCACAACAAACTGGTTCCATCACTGAGAAAATCAACTTGAAGCAAAGTATCCACAAAAAGTTCCCCAGGTTCAGTTCAAACCCGAGCTGTTGCTGTTTAGGCAGCTACTAAAGGCACAGAGATGATAATTAGAGGACAAACACCAGACAGATGTATTTGAATTATTCTATTTTTGTTATTTCCTAATATGAAAAATACATATTTAAAAGAATATTCAGTGTATGTATTGACTATCCTGTTTTCTTGGCCCATCCGACGGTGTGAACTGTAGCTGCAAGGTGGCGTCTCACTCACACGCTCCCTTTTGCAGCTATGCAATGCCAATGTGATGAAAATATTATATGATTATAAATAAATTATTTTCTTGCCTAAAACTGCTTGTTTTTTTTGTATTTGCTCACTTTCTGTTTGAATTTTCAGGGTCACACACTGAGTGTGATAATGATGCTTACTCTTGTCTAAATTATAATTAAAATATCTGGATCAACATAACTTTGCACTTTAAACCTGCATAATCTTGTGATGCATAAACTGTGTGATAACGTTAAGAGAACCAACACTGAAAACAAATGTTAAACTTGCTTCCAGTGGCTCATTAAGGTCACCATGGCAACTACACACCAGTAACTCTTCCTTTCAGAAAGCAAAATAAACATGAAGCAGATCAAAATTCAGGATAGAATTTTTATATCAAATTGGGATAATTACAAGTCGCATTAGCAAATTGTAAGCAGAAGAAAACTAATGGTAATGTGCAAACGTGCATGCTTCAAATTCCAAATTAATGTAGCAGTGATAAGTTAAAAGGACCTTTCACCTAGAGTTTTGAAGCCAAATTTTGAGCTTGTATGAAATTTATGGAAATGTGAACGTGTATATGCTACAATCATGAAAAACTTCAAAGAACGTGAGTGAAAGATGACACAAATGTCTACGTTTTGATGTTAAATTCATATTGTACTAAAAGAAATGTTGGCATAATAAAGGTTTGCTTGCAAAACATTTAGACATTTTAGACAGTTTAATGTGACATTATCAACTGAAAAGTCGAGCTCTTTAAAGTTAAAGTCCCATCAGATGTCTCAAACACACTGATGTGTGTGCAAAACTTGTTCTCCGCATTTGACCCATCCCCTGGGGGAGCGGTGAGCTGCAGACACAGCCATGCTGGGGAACCATTTGGTGGTTTAACCCCCCAATGCAGCCCCTTAATGCTGAGTGTCAAGCAGGGAGGTGTTGGGTCTCATTTTTTCAAAGTTTTTGGTATGACCCGACCAGAAATCCAACCCAGGCTCCCAGTCTCAGGGCGGACACCCTACCACCAGGGGTGAACTGGCCTATCTGGCATTTTGGCACTGTCCCAGTGGTCCACCTAGCCAAGTGGGCTGCTTGCCCAGCTTAGGCCGACGCGACTCCACAGTTGGTGATCTGCAGAGCATTAGCTACATACATACACACATACACACTCAGGTCCTCTAGCCTATTGCTCCTCGAGGTACCAAAAGTGTGTTATAAATCATGCGGACAAAGAGCTTTCTCTGTTGCCGGTCCTAAAATGTGGAACGAACTTCCAGCCGCAGTTCGACTGGCATCTTCCTTGGCAGTTTTTAAGTCTAGACTAAAGACACACTATTTTACCCTTGCTTTTAACAGTTAGCTGTTATTTTGGTTTTTACTACTCTTTTTTTACCATCCATTGTAATGGTTTTTATCGGAACTATTGTGAGGTTTTTATCTGAGCTTTTTTATTGGCTTGTTTCTTATCTGTTAACTGCATTTTATTGCTCTGTTCTATGTTTTTATCTCTGTTATTGTGTGACTGTTCAGCACTTTGGTCGGCCGTATGGCTGTGTTTTTAAAGTGCTATATGGTATGGTATGGTATGGTATGGTAACTCGAAACTAACAGAGTTTTTCCAGGCATTTTTTAACAAGAAAAACGCGGTAGAGCGATGACGTAGGAGTTGTTTTACCACGTTAGCATGTAGCTAATGTCCCGCTGATCTCCGCCCGTGGAGAATGGGCTGATCTGGAAGGCCAGGGCTCCCGGTTGCAGCGGTCTGGCCCTGCTTGTAATTTAACAATCCCAGTCCATATTAGATCTCCCATTCGGCCTAGAGACAAGTCTGCGGGCGGCAACCCCCCCCCCCCCCCCCCCCCCCCGCTCTCCCAATGGGGAGGGCTGACTGACCGCAGACAATTCGTAAAAATGTCAGGGCCGAATTTTGGTCCCAGTCCACCCTTGTCTACCACTAGGCCACTGAGCTGCTTTCCAGTGAGAATTGGACTCCGCCAAGGCTGCCCTTTGTCACCAATTCTGTTCACAACTTTCATGGACAGGATAGGTGCAGCCGAGGTGTTGAGGGGATCGGTTTTGGTGGCATAAGGATTGAGTCTCTGCTTTTTGCAGATGATGTGGTCCTGTTGGCTTCATCAGAACGTTATTTTCCGGCTCTCACGGGAGCGGTTCACAGTCGAGTGTAAAGCAGCTGGGATGAGAATCGGCTCCTTTAAATCCGAGACCATGGTCTTGAGTCGGAAAAAGAGTAGAATGCCTTCTCTGGGTCAGGAATGAGGTCCTGCCCCAAATGGAGTAGTTTAAGTATCTCGGGGTCTTGTTCACCAAGGTGGATTGGTGCTGCGTCTGCAGTGATGCGGGCATTGTACCAATCTGTTGTGGTGAAGAGAAAGCTGAGTTGGGTGGCAAAACTCTCGATTTCCCGGTCAATCTACGTTCCTACCCTCACCTTCGGTCACAAGCTTTGGGTAGTGACTGAAAAAACAAGATCGCAGACACAAGCGGCCGAAATGAGTTTTCTCTGCAGGGTGGCTGGGCTCTACCTCAGAGATAGAATGAGAAGCTCGGGGTAATGGAGTAAGGTGTGTCGACTGCTGGCTCCTGCAATACATTTTGTATTTCTCATTTAATCCCTACATTGCTACCTAACACATGTCTGGTGGCAGCTGGAGAGTGGATCTTTTGGTGGACAACGTGTCTAAAGCAAAAAGACAAGCTGAGGAGAAAATAGCAGTTGAGAGCAGTGCTAGTGCTGGCTCAGCTGAAGACAGCACTGCTCTAAATCTGGCACTTGTGGCTTTGCTGGAACACCACAGATCAGCAGTAGCTGTTGATTTTAACATAACGTTGGATAAATGAAATGACAAGTTGGACAAAATCCAAATTGAAGTTGCGGGTCAGGGACACTGTATTGGCGAACTCGAATTGCACTAGGAAGATGTTGCCCAGCACTTAGTGGTACTTGGAGCTACCTGTCAGTCGGTACAGGAGAACAAACTTTTTAAAACCAAACTTTCTGACATGGAGAATAGAGGTAGAAGACAGAATGTTCATCTGGTGGGGTTGCCGGAATTGCTGGACAATTTGAATAAGAGCGAAATGCTTATGCTTAATGAGGAAGCTCAAGATCAGGAACTAGTAAATGTCTCCTTTAAAATGGTCAGCGATCACTTCTATTACCTTGGTATTTGTGTCACAGAACCATTTAATCAACTGTTTAAAAAATTCTCTCCTCTACTAGAGCAATGCAACTGAACTTTGTCTAAATGGTCTCCATTATACTTGTCATTAATCGGCAGGATCAATGCAGTAAAAAAGATCATACTTCCTAAATTTCTATACCTGTTTCAATGCCTCCCCATTCTAAATCCCAAATCGTTTTTTTTAAACCTCTGGATTCGTTAATAATGTCATTTGTCTGGAATGGTAAACATCCAAAATTGAGGAAAGGTCTATTTCAAAAACCCAAGCAGGCAGGGGTGGGGGGGTTGGCACTCCCTAACTTTCAATATTATTATTAATGGGCTATCCATATCAGGTGTATTGGAGATACTTTCATTTACAATCGCCATCCCCTTTCTGGGTCACCATGGAGTCTCAGGTGAACAAGAACATTTCCTTACCTGCAATTTTGGGGTCGTCACTCCCTCTAGCTCTGTCTTCACTTACTTAAGAATAGTAGAGTAGTCCATCAATCTCTCAAAATTTGGTCTCAGTTTAGGAAAGGTCTGTCTCCAATCCTTTTCACTTCAACGTCCAGTTGCCTCAAATCATTTGTTTGTTCCTTCAATGATAGATGGGCAGTGGTTTGCTGATCTATATAGAGGGACAATTCGCTATGTCTATTAAATATGGCATTGCTTCTGCTCATCTTTTTTGTTTTTTACAGGTTAGACAATATGTGCAGGCAATGACATCACTGTTTCCTCATTAACCTCCAGACAATCCTGTTGATTCAATCTTAGGGATCAATCCCCTCTCTAGGGGCATAATATCAGTTTTGTATCATTTAATTTCAAACTTGCAAGGTTCTTCAACAGCCGCTATTAAATGTAAATGGGAGCAGGATCTTCAAGTTCATGTTTCAGATGAACTGTGGAACTCTATCCTTGACCAAGTTCATACTATATCAATGTGTGCCAGACACACACTCATTCAATTTACGACAGTTCATCTTATGCGCATGTCCAGGGATAGATTAGCTTATATGTATCCAGATGTAGACCCCTCCTGTGTAAGATGTGGTAGCTCCCCTGGTACATTGGTTTATATGTACTGGTCCTGCGCTTCTTTGTCTAAATTCTGGGTTTCAGTTTTCCATACAATGTCTGAATCCTGCAACATCATATTGAGCCAGATTGGGAGTGATGCCTAATCTTGACTTGCCCAACTGTAAGTTTCAAGTTTTAAAATTTCCATCACTACTGGCTAAAACAGCAGTACTTCTTAGGTGGAAAGATTCTACACCCCCTTCACATACGCAATGGGCAAAATATATTATGTCTTGTATAGATTTGGAGAAAAATAGGTACTCTGTGCATGGATGTATAAATAAAATTTATAAATTATAGTATCCTTTTCTAGATTGGTTTAGATATCTATGACTACTGTTTTCGATTAGCCCACAAACCCACCTTTCTCCATTTCATTTGTATTGTTTGTGTATATTTCATTTTAGTTATTTCTTTTTAAATTTTATTTTTCCAAGTAATGTTTTGATTGGCATATGCATATAAGTTTGTCTGTATATAAGCAGGCTTATGGGTTGAGGTATATACATGCTAACAGTTCATAGTGGGACAATAGGAAATAAAAGGGTGAGGTCTGAGGTGTTTTGGTTGTTTGACAGTGAATCTCTGTTTAATATTAAAAAGACATTGGAAAGGATGAGAAGCTTGGTCATCCGGGAGGGGCTTGGAGGAGACCCTCTGCTCCTTCATATCAAGAGGAGCCAGTTGGGGTGGCTCATGCATCTAGTTAGGACACCTCCTAGACGGCTCCCTGGTGAGGCTTTCCGGCACGTCCAACCGGAAAGAGACCTAATGGAAGACCTAGGACACACTGGTGGGACTATGTCTCTCAGCTGGTCAGGGAACACCTTGGGATTCCTCCTCCGGAGATGGTCCAAGTGGCTGGGTAGAGGGAAGTTTGGACCTCGCGGCTTAGGCTGCTGCCCCTTGCGACCCGACCCAGATGAGTGGCCAAAAATGGTTGTATGGATGACGATTTATTTACCATGTCTGACACTGCATCATTTAGCAGACTTTTTTTCTCACCTCTGGGCTTAAACCTGTAGAACACCCAAGAGGATGAAGAGTTGAGAAAGGAACTTGTCTGTGTTCAACTTCTTTCCAGTTTTTGCTGAGTAAGGGAAACCAGAATATGTTACACGTAAGAATACAAAGTCCGAGATGGTACGGCTCCCATCTACCTGAATCCTCTTGCAAAGGCTTACGTCTCGGCTCGGCCGCTCCGGTCATCACAGGATCGTCGGCTAGCAGTGCCTACACCACGCTCAGGACAATCCAGACTCTTCTCATGCATCGTTCCACAAATGTGGAATGACCTTCCAAGTACTACCAGAACTGCGGCTTCCTTTTCAATTTTCAAGAAACTCCTGAAGACCCTGCTCTTCAGAGAGCATCTTCTTAACTAGCACCCTCCCTGCACCCGTCCCCCCTCTCTACTGTCCACTGTTCCCTACTCTCCATGACTGATGTCAATGTTGTTGTTGTTATTGTTGTCGTTAGCCTCAAGGGCAATATGCCGATTATCACTTGTAAGTCGCTTTGGACAAAAGCGTCTGCTAAATACATAAACATAAACATAAACATACACGTCACAGACTGAGCAGTGTGAGCTGTAACAAAGTGATGATTAGTTTACATTTAACTGCTTGAAACCTAAATCCAATGAACCACTTTAAATAAAAAAAAAACAAAAAACAAAAAAAAAAAATAAACACCAAAAGTCAAAAAGCTCTCAGAACTGGATGTGCTGATGAAAGCAGGTTTTTGGTGTGTAAAGTCGTTCCATAACACCTGTTTGCCCACGTGCTCTCCCACACTTCACTCTAAAGACTTCCTCGTCTAATTAGCTGCCTGACACGGTTTTCTAACTACACGACATTCTGTCTCAACTTCATTTTCTAAATGAGAAGCTTTGTAGTCACACATTTTGTTAAAGGGCTGAATTTAGATTAGGTAGTGTCCTAATAACCATATAAATGTCTCTAAGAATGTGTGTTTAGGTATTCATGGAGTTGTTTACAGTGATGGCATCTCAGTTAACAGTGTTCTTCCTTTTTATGCACACTCCCAGCTAAGGCATTGACCTGTTGAACTCCAGAGCCCTCTGGTGGTTGATTTTTGCATGTGCCACCTCCTGTGGATAGGTTAAATGCAGCAAAGCACAATATTTTATAGAAATACTGTAAGTAGCGTAGGCTAAAGCCAGTGTTTTATATGGTTGTATTATGTTTTATTTTAAAATTCAACAATGAGTCATTTCAACTAGATAAACATGTTTGGCCTGAACAACATCTGCACATCATTAGGGTCGATTAAGGTTAACCACTCTTGTAAATTCAAAACAAGCCTTAGCTTTAACTACTCTTCCACAAGTATGTCAAAGTTGCTCCAACATGCATGAGGAAATAAATAAAAGCACAACAATTAAACAATAAATGAAGGAGTTCTAAGTAAAGGAATGCAAAAACACAAAAAAGTTGTAGAAATGTAAAAAAAAATAAAAAAATAAAAAAAAGATATATCCATCCATCAATCCATCCATCCATTGAAAGATGATATATATATATACACACACACATATATATATATATATATATATATATATATATATATTAGTATTTATATACATTAGTATTAGTAGTATATATATTAGTATATATATATATATATATATATATATATATATATATTACATTATACAGAAAATCAACACATCTGTTTCCTTTATATTGACCTCCCCTTCATATTAAAAGTCAACTTTACTCATTTTTCAATACATTTGCAGTGGTCTCTAGTAGGAATGAATGCCTTATAGGCATGGTAGGCTGAGAGACTGGGTAGGCCTATCAGGAACTCCTCTGGAGTGGTTCTCCTCATATCTGTCTGAACGTTCTTTCTCTGTGGCCGTCTCCAAGTTTAGGTCCTCCACCACCTCTCTTACCCATGGTGTCCCACAAGGTTCTGTTCTGGGACCTCTGCTCTTCCTCCTCTATCTACTTCCTCTTCAGCACATCTTGAGCACTTCTAAAGGAATCTCCTACCATCTTTATGCAGATGACATCCAACTGTACATCTCCTTTAAGCCCCATGAAATGTCTAAGCTGCAGCTGTTACACACCTGCTTAGACTCCATCAAAACCTGGATGGCTGGGAGCTTTCTACAGCTGAATGAAGATAAGACTGAGATCCTCATCTGTGCCCCAGACAAGCTGGTTCCCAAAGTCAGAGACTCTCTTGGTCAGCTTGCTTCTCACACCAAACCTTCTGTCAGGAATTGTGGTGTGACCTTTGACCCAACTCTCACCCTGGATTGTGATGTCAGTTCTCTTGTTCGCTCTTCCTTTTTCCATCTCAGGAACATTGCTAAGCTGAGTCCCATTCTGTCCCGCTCTGAACTTGAGACAGTTATCCACACCTTCATCTCCTCACACTTAGACTACTGCAACGCTCTTTTCACGTGTCTGAGCAGAACCTCCCTGAACCGTCTACAGGTGGTTCAGAATGCCTGTGCTCGGCTTCTGACCAAGTCCTCCAAACACACCCACATCACCCCGCTTCTCCTCCAGCTTCACTGGCTGCCAGTCAACTTCAGGGTTCATTTCAAGATCCTGGTTCTGGTCTATAGGGCCTTACATGGACAAGCACCATCTTACATTGGTGATCTTCTTAGTCCCTACACCCCCAGCAGGTCCCTGAGGTCCAGTGATCAAAGCCTACTGGTTGTGCAGCGCACCAGGCTAAAGACCAAAGGTGACAGATCATTTGCTGCTGTGGCCCCCAGACTCTGGAACTCTCTCTCCCTGAGCCTGAGATCGATGGACTCAGTGGTCTCCTTTAAAAAGCAGCTGAAAACTCACCTGTTCAAGCTGGTTTTGGTGTGACCTTCACCACCCTCTCCTTATTCTGCTCTTTCTACCTATTCAGCCTTGCCTGGGATCCACTGATTTCCCTCTTTCCTTACATTTTTTGTTCAAAATCTTAATTTTTTCTCATTTTAACTATATGTTTAATAATAAAAAAATGTTTGTGCATATAAAAAAATGTTGTTCATGTTTTGTTCATTTTTGTTCAAAAAATGTAAAGCACCTCGTGATATTTATCTTGAGAGGTGCTGTATAAAATATTGTTTTCTTTCTTTCTTTCTTTTCTTTAGTAGACTGTGCTCTGGGAAAAAAAAATTCTGGTGCACCTGTTTCAGGAAGTAGTAATGAGCTAGCAACATGACTATACCACTGACCCTGTTTGCTCTGCAACTTTGATGTTTTACCTCCACAAATAACACAAGCCTGAAGATGTTCTGATGCATTTTATTTTAACAGTTAGCTTCTACTAGCTGATATGTTCTCTGCTGTTTCCAGGACGCTAAACCAACAATAACCTTCCCTGTCATGAGTCAAGATGTCCATGAATGTTAAGTGACAGTGTGACGTACATCTGTTAGGATTTTCTAATCCTAGAGTTTCACCTTATATTTTCTATCAGAAGTCGATGGAGAAGATAGGTGTAGAAGACTATTTTCATGTTCAGCCTGCATTAAATACTCAGAGCGACGGGTTATAATCAGAAATAATCATTAAAAATTGTATTTCAGTGAAGCTGTTCTAAATGTATCAGGCTAAAGTAATCAGTTCTAGTTCAAGCTCTATTCAGTCAGAAAACATTAAGTGTGTAGACCTTCGTTGGTCATATTCTTGCTTTCTGTGCCCAATATCTTGATATTACAGGAAAAGGGTGCGCGCGCGCACACACACACACACACACACACACACACACACACACACACACACGTTTCTCATAAGGGCCAAACTATACCACCCACCATTCTTCCTGTTTCTGACAGCAGAAAGCATGCAACATTATCTAAGTCACACACACACACACACACACACACACACACACACACACACACACACAAACACACACACACACACACACACACACACACACACACGCACACACGCGCGCACACACACACACACACACACACACACACACACACACACACACACACACACACACACACACTCACAGCGGAAGAACTGTCGGCAATCTGCAATCAACAAATGAAGGCAGATAGAAACAGAAAGCCTCGTTTCTCTAGCTGTCTCAGATACTTCACTAATTAACCACCATTTCTCCCACAAGTTAAATATTTAGGTAATAATGCCGTGATTATGGAAAATGAGATGCAGTTGGAAGAGAGGGAGAGAACTTTGTTCAAGAGGAAGAAGGAAGCAAAGAAGGGAAAAATACAGAATGAAATCAATTAAAGCTTGAAGAGGAGTGACAGAAAGAGAGAGGAAGCGAAGCCAAAACACAAAAGGGAGGGACTGAAGTCATGTGGAGGGGAGGAGGAAAGGGGAGGGGGGAGCAAAACAAGATGGGAGGAGTAACGCCAACTACAGGAGGGAAATCTGCCCCCAGATCAGAAAAGAGCTGCAAGAGAAAGATGAGGATGAGTTACGGGGGAAGCAAGTTTGTCTACTGTACCTGATTTCTGCACCTGAGCTTCTAACACACACACACACACACACACACACACACACACACACACACACACACACACACACACACACACACACACACACACACACACACACACACACACACACACACACACACACACACACACACACACACTCTCACTGACTGATGACCCTTCTGGATGGACGTTCACCTCCACTCTACCAGCTGTGCACATATGAGATCAACCTGGATGAACAGACATGCATTTCTACTACGTGGTAGGTGTGTGTGCGTGTGTGTGTTTTCATTTCTGAAACGTTATTTAAAGACTGCTAACAGACTATAAATAGGTCACAATTAAATTAAAGTGTAACAAATGGTTGTTTGGTGTCTGGAGAGCAAAGTTCCAGTTTAAAACAGTAAAGCAAACACAACACGAATACATTTGGTTATGTTCTTAAAATAATCTGTGCAGAAGTTTTAAAAGTTCGTATTGGAATAATTTCATATACAGTCACAGATAGATCTCTAGAGCTGAAACGCACCCAAACAACCCAAAACTCAACTCCTGAGTGTCATTATTTATTTCTTATTACTGTGTTCACCCAACTGAAAAGGGTCCTTATGTTACTAAAGCATATCAAAATGAGTCATCACAGCAAAATAAAAAAGTTGCTTTTCCTGAAATGCTGGCAGCTTTTTAGCAGACAGGAATGTGCATCACTTCTGTAAAATATAGAGGCGCTGTGGACATTATTGGTGTTAATTTTCTGTGACTCCCCCTCTGTGAAATGCATGAAAACAAACTTTCTTCCAAATAATTTGTTATAATATACTTCCTCCTGCACGTCGTACCCCCTTCTCCCTTACACTAAGCTGCAGCTGTCCACCCCAGCAGCATGTGAAGCCTCACCATGACACGAGCTGACTCGGTGTGTGCCAACAAATTAATGACTCTACAGCTTGTTTTATCTAGAGGAAACCTGATAGCAGCAATCTGATTCAACATTACATCTGCTTTTATCTTTTATGTGAATCGTTCAAATGACTCATTAAAAAAAGAGGTAAAAGTCTGGTGAGTTTTAAATTACAGTTTTTTTAAGGTTTAGCTAGATTGAGAAGAGTCAGCACCAGACCTGCTTGAAATACCTGATGTAGAACATTAGCATCTAACTGATACACATCCTTTTGTAGTAAAAGCCACATCCCACTTGTCGAACTTAGCTTCTGCTGCAGGACTATGTCGATGTGAGTCTATAAAATCAGATTCCATGCTGCTTTGAATCCAGCTTCAACAACACGGTGTGGCATGAGGACAAAACGCAATAATTTGTCCAATAAAAAGATTATATTTAGCTAAGAATAGTAAACTGGTTATTTATTAACTGTGTTTGTGTTTGGAAATAGGGTTCATGCCTGAATCTCCTGGTTTAGCCAGCCGAATCACTTCTGGATTGCGGTAACGTTTGTGTACTTTATTGTGTTTTTGAAGCAGTTGTTGCGGCACCTGCCGAGGATAACGGTCAATATGATAACCCAGCCCACGTTTAAGATGCCGCATTCAAATAAAGGCAAAGGTCAGGGTTGTATGTGTTCACCTACATTCATTATGAAGGTGAGTTAAAGAGCTTCTGCTTTGGGCTTTGCTAAATGACGACACATGCTAGCTCTTTAGCCAAAGTTAGCACAGTGTTGAAGCAACGCTAACATTGTTATGAGACAGGTTTTTTTTTTGAATTTTTGAATGCTAACTCTGCTAATGTTGTTAGAGTTGCTTCCTCACTCTGCTAGTAAAGAGCTAGCATGTATCATTTAGAAAGCAAAAGTTCAACTTATCTTCATTGTAGGGGTATACCGATGTATCGGTCCGCTGATATGTCAGGCCGATATTTACCCATTTTTAAACATCAGCATCAGCAAAAATTTGTCCTTAGTGAAGCCAGTTTAAAGTCAGGCACATCCTCAGGCAGCCCATGCTGTGGCAGAATTTCATTTATCTGTATTTTTACAAAATATGCATAAACATACTCTAAATTAACTTTATTTAGGTGTCTGACTTTAACACTGAGCCATGCTCAAAGTTAAGGTTTGGTTAAATTCAGAGTTCAAAAACTGATTCAATTTCAGACATTCAACTGATGTTATTAGTGACATTTTAGCATGAAAATAAGGTGCAAAATGTCTAGATATCAGCCCAAAAAAATGAACAGGACATACTGACCATTGGATGACCATGTCTCCCACATATCGGCATCAGTATTGGTAATAGAATGACCAATATTGGTTTACTTCTACTTCATAGTTTTTAATGTAAGCGGACATTTCAAAACCTTTGTCTTTATTTGATTGCATGTGACCTAGATTATCCCGTGTAAGTTGTTGATCGTTATATCGTCAGGTCCTGCAGCGATAACCTTAAAGCCCCACAATGTTACTGTGACCTGAAAGTATATGTCAACTAGCTAGAATGTCTGGAAGTGTCAAACCGAGGGTCTGTGGCACATAGCCTAATGTGTGAGTAAAACACTGTTTACAAATTAGCTTGCCATAAAATAGATGGTGAAAGTTTATTTTTTTTAGTGCTGATTATTTTTCCTGCTGCAGCTTTTTCCATAGTTTCTGTTCATGCCTGTGATTCACAAACAGGGAGTTTGTCTCTAAATGTGAGGGAGTGCTGATGTGTGAACATCTGGAGTGTGCAGGAGCTGAGACAGACATGATCCAAACAGTAAGCTGTAGAAGATTCAAAACAGTAGACATGGTTTCTAGGTGATTGATAACATTGCTGTGTGGATCTGAGTGGGAGGAAATCTTGGAAAAATGGTAAACGGCTTCTTTTTACTGCAGGATTGAGGTGAATGTTGACTCAGTTGCACTGTGATTATCACTTTGTCACACTGTCACCCTCCAGGTCCCCTGAAAGGATTAAATTATAGCAACTGAATAAGAGAAAAACAGAATAAAACTTTCTACATGTAATTTAATGTCTGGGGGAGCCTCTTGGGGATGAACAGTGTCGTCACTTACGTCTTACTAAAGTCCTGAAAGGGACAATTTATGAATGGCTTGCCAGACATTTCCTGGATAGCAGCTATAGCAGCATCATTGCCTTTACTCAGAGAATAACCTTTCTGAAATTTGACGTGGAGAACATAGCGAGGTCATCATCCAGTGCTACGAGGACCTTTGTAACCAAACTTTTGTTGAAGTGTTTCTTAACATATGCAGTTATAGTGTGATGGCTAGAGCTTTGAGTGTGATGGGCTGGTGAGCTGTCCTGGGGTCCCCTGCATCTCTCCTGATGACTGATTGAGAAAGACACCAGCTCCCTGAGACCCATGAGGAATAAGTAGTTCAGACGATGGATGGATGTATATTTAAAATTCAGGAAATCACAAGAAATGTACCTAGATTATAGATTTGACAGTTGGCATGGCATCCAACCCTTAAGTAACATGTGACATAAGTGACACGTACTACCACTGAACTTTCAGAATTATCTGCCTAAGTCATTTGGAGAGTTAGAAAATCTCTAATTTGGCAACATCTGGGGTTCTTCAGATTTATGGAGTGCTGCAGTCATTTAGGACCAAGACTCTCTGCCATCTGCTCTGAAGCATCACGCGGCCATGACTTGAAATCCAAGTCCTGCTAAATCGTATATTTAATGGCACGCGTTTAGCTCTCTCCTCCTCCTCCCACAGACATAACCAGACAGCTGCATCACTTTTCTGTGTCTATCCATCTGTCACCATCTCTGTCTCTAGTGCTGTTGTGGTGTCCTGCACATCTCCGTCCAGAGCCTCTGTCATGGTTTGGAACTGTTACTGCTATATTTTCTGCTTTCTGATTTGTGGCTCTGACTCTGGCAGCTTAATGGCGACCATTAAATCCCATTTAAGTATGCAGGCATTTAGCCTCCATGGGAGATGGCTGTGCCCTCCTCAGAGGCTCCGTACATGTGACTGTGTGATAGGGCTGATTGGTTCAGGAGTCTCTGAGGTGTGTTGTATAACTGTTGGGTAACTCCATCCATCATCCATCCATTTATTCAACATCCATCCATCCATCCATCCAATCATCCACCCATCCATTTATCCATCCACCCATCCATCCATTTATTCAACATCCATCCATCCATCCATCCATCCATTTATTCAACACCCATCCAATCATCCACCCATCCATTTATCCATCCATCCATCCATCCATCCATCCATCCATCCATTTATTCAACACCCATCCAATCATCCACCCATCCATTTATCCATCCATCCATCCATCCATCCATCCATCCATCATACATCCATTTATTCAACATCCATCCATCCATCCATCCATCCATCCATCCATCCATCCATCCATTTATTCAACACCCATCCAATCATCCACCCATCCATTTATCCATCCATCCCTTTCTCCATCATCTATCCATCCATCTATCCAACATCCATCCAGCATCCATTCATTCATTCATCTATTCAAAATCCATCCATCCACCAATGCAGTTAAAGCTCAGGAGGTACAGTGGGTTGCCCAGCAAATGGAGGGTTCTTTCCAGTCATTCTCGTGTTGAGTCCTTGGTATGTCCGTCATCAGCCTTGATGCCTCACACTTGTGGAAATTACTTTAGAAAAAAGCAACTGCCAGATGCGTAAACATCCAGCCATCCACCTGACAATCATTTCCTTTAGCAATGCTTAGCTTAAAGGTGCATTATGTAAGAATGAAGTAGGGTGACATCATGTGGTCAAATTTAAATACTGCAGGCTATTTTCTAAACATGCAAAGTGACAACCGTTCTGTGAGTTTCATGGCTGTTGCCAGTTACGGCTCAGCCCCAGAAGATTCTAGATGATGAGTGAAGATGAGTCATACACAGTAAGTTGATAATTAAATAAACATGTTTCACTGTAATAATGAGTTGTTGGTAATTGTTAGCAGTAGCTTGAGCTATTTTAGAGCTACCGCACGGACTTGGCAACCAAGCAGGCTTACAGATTGTAAAAGGAGAAAATCTGACAAGCCCCCAGCCAGCTGAGAATGAAATTTGTTTTAGTGTAACCTTCCTTTCAACATGAGTGAGACGTTAGACTGTTTTTATAATTATTTCACTGTAGAATTCTTACATATTTCGCCTTTAAAGCAGCAGACACTTCTAGACACATATGGAAGTAAACATGATCTCGTTTGGACCATAAAAGCTGTCTTATTCAAACTTCAATATGTTAATATGATACCATTTTAGATCAACACACACACGGTTAGACCCTGTTTA